CTGAAATTAAAGGTGAGAGAATCATAATTATATAGCACAATAAAGATTTTTTTGTGTTTGCAATCTATTTAAAGACTATTCAGTTGTAAAATAAATAACAATACGAAAACGCGCTGATTGAATGCTGGCTAATGTTGGTATTTTTTCAGGAAATTTCAACAGCCGCAAATATTCCACCAGTTCAGAGTGGTAGTATTGAATGAGTTGCTCTCCATGTTCTTATAGTTTTGTCATTATTCGGAAAAAGCTTCATTAAACTCATTATTCATTTAGAATATATTAGTTTTCTTGTAGTATTTCTCATTAAATTAAAACGAAATTTCCATTGAGAATTTAGATTTTTATTTCGAAGAGTAGTCATTTAATGGGTGCATCAGAAAAATACAGATTATTGAACATGATCAAAACAGAGTTTTGCGAAATTTCTCATTCTCTTCAAGAAGATATTTGCATTTTTTCTCTAGAGCCTTCTTTTCCAGACCATTTAATGAATAATGATGAACAATTTAAAAAATAATAATCAATTTATTCACAGTATGAAAAAAATAATAAAAATTACAACCAAAAACTACCTTTTGACAACGCATCCAGCGTTTTCTTGAGCTTTGCATTTTCCTTCTTTACTTTATAGCCGGAGAGCGCATACACCTATGTAAATCATACACATCTGCATGAACTCTCCGACTATACATGCGACGACGTTGCGCTAATTACAGCATTAGCCGAATTAGTCGCGACGTCATGCGCATCCACTCAGTCACAACACAACCTTCAACCAAAGAACAATGAATAAATATACCCTTTATTCCAAACACATCAAACAACTGTGTTTATTTCATCAATACATCATGCTCCTTCCATCACTATAACAAAAAGGCATTTCTAACGTTTTTGTGCATTTCGATAATCGATCTCGATCTGAACCTGTGAACTACAATTATTAATGTGATGAGTAATTAAATGTCAATACACAGTGGGTGTAAATTATTCAGAGAATATCGTGTTAGTGGCTCAAAGTTCCTTCAGCACAAAGTGGTCAAAAAAAAAGAACAATTGAACACAAAAATTGTGCGTAGGCAAAATCAACATCATACAAAAGGAACAAAATCTAAATGAACTAAAAAAAAATTGAAAAAAGAATGGTTGATAAAATTCATATTCGGAACCTGTGAGCATAAACTGGGGATTTCAAAGTGAAGCTGGAATTTACAGTCATATTTCGGACCATACCATAGTTGCAGTAATGCCTATATCATCACACGACCATGGGAACACGAAGTAGGAAATTCCGAGAAATCTTAACCGTGTATAGTTTGCACGTTGAAATACGCTACATCATCATATTGAAGTGAACATCCAGCATATGAGAAATATTGCGAGGAACATGAAACCTATTTTTTCAAACAAAATGATGGGATTGCAAAAATAACATCGCATTGCATCTGGATAGCAAACTCTTACGGCACATAATACATTATTTGGAAATTTGACCGATCTCTTTATTTCTCATTAATAAAATCATAAATTTGTAATAGCACTTTGCGAAAAAGTAATTTATATAATGAACATGTCAAACTTTGGATTTTTTAATTTCATAGATCGAAGTGAAGCATATACGAGGTCGTGATAGTTATATATTGTTGTAACATAAATTTTTCTATTGAAACAATTCTATTTCATTATTTATATGTAATGCGCCAAAAAGACGCTCGGATTGAATTGATTGGTATGCGCTAAGATGCGCTTGGGATGCGCCAAAGATGAGCTAATCTCTACCATATACGCTAAAAATGCGTTATCGGGACAAAAGATTCCCTAAATAGTTTTAAGGTATGATTGCTGTATAAATGAATTGAATGTGGGAATGTGAATTTTTCATGGACATCCATCTTTATATGTAGATTTGCAACAAAAACAATGACTGGACTTCGTATATTGCCAAAGGAAACAGATTTCATTAAATACCAAAATTACCATTAAAACATTAAAAAAAAACATTCAAAAAATATAAATGTAAATCCGTATGGAACCTTTACTTTTTCGGGTGGAAGGAATATAGCCGGAGAGCGCATACACCTATGTAAATCATACACATCTGCATGAACTCTCCGACTATACATGCGACGACGTTGCGCTAATAACAGCATTAGCCGAATTAGTCGCGACGTCATGCGCATCCACTCAGTCACAACACAACCTTCAACCAAAGAACAATGAATAAAGGGTATATATCCAAACACATCAAACAACTGTGTTTATTTCATCAATACATCATGCTCCTTCCATCACTATAACTTGATTCAATTCTGCCACTTTTTCTAAAAGGGATGAAATAATTCGAGTAATTTGATATGTTATTTGAATTACTACACACCTTTTAATTGATCATTTAATTCCTTTTTGATGTCAGCCTTGATCCGCTTTTCTTTTCTTAATTCTTCCTTCAAATCGTTGTGCCTTTCAATTAGTGATCTACGGATCTTTTTTGTATTTGGAGTGCATTTATCACTCTTTTTATTCAATGCTTCAGATGTTCCACTAGAAATGGATGATTGTTGTAGATTTATAGTGATTCCGGAGGATGGCAAATAAGACTGCTTAGCTTGTGATGTTGAAGCAACTGCCGATGTCCAAGCAGACTTTGACCAGAGAGGAGGATCTCTGCTTGAAATAACCTCCTTATCACCAAACATGATGAATTCTTCAAAAGTTCACATTAGTGGCCACTTAATTTATAACTTTAAACTTATAATTGAATTTACCACATTGTTATGATATATTATCTCAGTAACCGCACTTGTCAATTAAATTGATAGTTTTCCAAGAATTCAATGAATAAGTTATGTTTATCTCTCAAATTCATCTCACATGGATTATTTAGGTGGGACTGCATGTCAATAAGTACATAGTACAATCATTTGGAAATGTTTGAATAGGACTTTACATGCAATTTAAAAAATGAAAATATATATGCAGTCTGACGGAAAAGGTTGAATGTCTTCACATTTTATACAAAAAAAATTATATTTCGCTTAGCACAGGCATCATTTTTCTCTATAGCAAAAAATTCAAACCGATAGAATATGTATATGCTATTCTGCAAAATGAACATTTCCCTTCCAACGCGTACTACACTTGCATTTTATTTTGTCTCTCTTGACGTGTCTTAACATTGCTCTGGTTTATACGACAACGGTACAATTGCATAAATTATTGGGACGGTAAGCAAGATCGTTTTATGGCTTTCACAGCAATTATTGGTCTTGTACTTTGCAGATAATTCTTGAATTAAAGTTTTGCTGTAGTGTCATTTGTAGGATTTCTGATTGTAGTTATACATTTTCTTCCTTAAATGCATGAGAATTACGTGACATTGACCGACAGATGAGAGACGAAAAGAGACGAGATTATCGATTATAAAGAATTGTCGTGTAAAAAGTATTTTGTGGACTGGTTGAGATGATTCTGTCCAATTCGTATAAATTATTTTCTTCATTCAATTGCGAAAATGGTGTTTTTCATATTCTGGAAGTCATAAAAGACCTCCAACCCTGTGCAGAATATCGATTCTCTCATTTTTTCCAATATCCTTATCTTTTTCACGTTTGCTCACCTTTTCTTACTGAACATTCTGTTTACTTGAACTTTTTGCATGTAAAAATGTCTTTTATGTCTCACTCCCGCAAATCATCACTCCTCAATTTTTCGTATAGTACATAGCGAGAATATAATCAGAAGAACTGATCCGCGCATTTTTCAGAATAACTGACCTGCGCTTTTTTTGTATGACATCGCGACATGAGATTAAAAAGACGTGTTAAAAAATCACAAAAAACCATCATATGAAGTGCTCAAAACTCGATGGAACTTGATTATATTGCAGTTGGAATAGAATATTTGAAAAAAGGCGCTGATCAAAATTCTGAGCGAAGGAAGTTGAGAAAGACCATGGATCAACAATCGAATCGGAGGGAGCTTTGACATGCATGACATATTATTATTTTTTCATTAATATCATTTACTTAAAGTCATGAAATGCTCTAATCATGCTCATTACAATAAAATAACGCGGATATTACAAAAAATTACAATATAAGATGACGGCTTTGCAGACGTTTTTGAATACAGAGTGATTGCATTAATTGAGTGACTACTTTGACGGTTTTGAGACTGACCTGAAAGTGCTGCTCAAGCAATCATATATCATTTGAATGATACCTTTTCGTGGAATTTATGCTACATAAAAAACTGCCGATTTCGTCAGAAAATATATGCAACGATATTATCCAAAAATTGAAATTAGTTTCTTTCTCAATATCGTATGAACAAGAATTTTCAACACAATTGTTCATTTCACAACTGCTACAGAAAAATATTCCTTTTAGTTCTTCTCAAATATCACAAATAAATTTTTCCGATGCCATTTTTTTTTTTCATTAAGTAGTTATAAAACAAGCAAATCAAAATTAAAATAAAATACTGAAAACACGATCTTGTCATGGTTTTTTTGCAACTTGTGTACCGAACGAAAAACTACTGTAAAATGAAAAGCAATGTTGCATAGTCAAGCAGCACAGCGTATCTTTGCCCGTGTAGTTGTTGTTGTTGTGGTCTTTCTATGATACATCTTTACTATTAAATATGTACATAACGAAAAAATTCAAAGAACTAAATGCTGACCAGCTAAAGCCCGATCAACCTAGACCTATCTTTTCTTTTGCCTGGAGCCAAAACTCGATCAATAATCGATCAATATGCGCTCCGATCGAGGCGAAAAGTTTTTATGTACATTCTTCGTGTTTACCCATTTTTAGAACTCGCAACACTTTCGGAATTCGACTGGAGAAAAGGAATTAAATATGATAGCAAAATACCTCTTAAAGTAATAATGTAATCAAAATTAGACTACATAGTACATCGACTGGTTGAAAATTCGCTCTTTTCCTAAAAACACATTTTTTCCAAACTACACCATAAATGAAATAATAACATAAAAATTGCCGCGGTATTAACATTTTTTATTACGAATTTGATAAAAGTATATTTAACATTGGTTTTTTCTAGAGATGAATTCCGGTTTCGGTTGCGGTTTCGGTTCCCGTTCGAGCCTTGGTTCCTGGATATGATAATCATCCTAAATGACTATCATTTTTGTTATGTTTAGCCACGTCACTTCCCTTGCCCTCAAAAGTACATGTCCATTTATTGGCGTCTCTCTGGCAATTATACTTGAATGAATTGGCAAGAGCATCCCCCTTGAGTTGACATTTATTGTTTTCACCTGGACTCGGCATGAAATCATTTCTACCTGATTTATTATCATATATCAAAAACACTGTGCCACGATGTGGATCGATTTGCAGTTCTGGTGGGTTGTTTTGCCTAAAACGTCTGATTTGAGCACAGACGCTCATGGCAATCAATTCCCTTTCCCTTTGTGCCTCTGGTGTATCGATATTAGGGGCGATATTTCTATCGTTAAAATAAGCAACGTGTTTCTGAACAAAGGAGTCTTGCGGGCAATTTTGAAATTTTGTATAGTCTGTTATCCTTCTTGGATTTCCTTGGAACTTATCTTCTTTACAATCGTATTTAATAGTAAGTTGGGAACCAGTTGGTGGGGCTGGATTCATATAATTATATGTTTCTGATGTAAGTCTAAAGTTGCAACTTTGTTCCAAATCACACGCCATCTTTGGCGGATACCGTGCATTTTCGTCAAGCTTCCTACCATTATGATACAAAGTACCCTTTTTAACCACGATATGATACCCCTGATTACACTGTAATGTACACTGTGTTAGCGGAGCTGTTAAGTAGACCTCCGCTGTATGTTCCTTTGCATATGTCTATACAAAAAAAAAGAAAAAACATTTGTAAAATAAAATATAAAAAAATATGAAAACTAGAGAGCTTCGCACTTATACAGCTTATAAACTGTACATCACAAAAATACGAGAAAAAATTTATATAATGTTACATGTCAAAAAACTTTTTTTTTGTATAAAAAAAAAATAGAGACGTAATTTCAACTTACTACATTTTTCAATAATAACAATACAAGGATCAAGCCCAACACTGTTAAAGTAATTGCCTTCATCTTAGCTGTAGCGACGAATAATGAAAACTGATTTATGTTTGCTCAGAACAAGGCTTTTTATAGGTAATTCATCGTCGAAATATGAAGCCTAGCAGCGATTATGTCATCAAGCTGTACAATTGATATAAAGTCAGTTGTTTACGTCTTATTTTTTCCAAATAGTACTGTTGGTGTGTTTTTGTATAGGGCACGAAGTCGTGCGTTATGTATAGTACATGAAGTAAACAACTCATCTCATTATGATAATTTCTACGAGTTTAAGCTGTACGCATTACTACATCTGTATTCAAAGCTAAGTTGTTCTCCGGATTTGCATTTTGGACCTGTTGTGATGGAATTTGACTTTGACGATTTTAAAAGTCATTTGGGCGTTGGTCATACGAGTGATTGTGTGAATGGAAATTTCCACGATTCTTTATGAATTTGAAAAATTGCAAGGGCCAAGCTGAAGAAAATTTATGATTAAATGAATGGAACACAAAGTTTTTAATTCAAACACAATGAATAAGCTATTTGATGCACATTGAAAAGGAAATAACAAAACAATAAATTCTAAGATTACAAGAAATTTTTTTGCGTGCACATATGATTCACCGGTCACAATATAAATGGTTTGAGGAATAGAATTATCACTGATGAAATTTTCCCCTCAAATACGTTTTGTTCTGAAAAAAAATGCTGAAATTGATTCTCCAACGAGATACAGCAGCGACCTCCGTCTTTACAGATCGTGTTTTACAGCAGCGACCTCCAAGAAAAATTTTGCATCATCGGTTCGCAAAATGACGGACACCACTTTTGGATCGCTATGCAAACTCAAATGACTACCTGGCCACCCAGTCAATTTTTCATCCAGGTAACCTCATTTTTTGTATATGTTCTCCACGAGAACACCTTGATACTGCCCACATTAATGATGAAATTGCGATTTTTATGTTGCCAACAAACCCGATCTATGATCCAAAGCGGACGAATTCATCAAGGACAAAGCATACTGCCCGGGTGCCATTTGGGTTGCTTCTGATTGCAACAAACATGAGCGGGGCTGTCCCAGGTTCCAACCACCCACGTGCAATTCAACTCATCTCACACGGATCACACAGCATAATCAATATTTAAAGACTGACGAATTTTTCCATACATTCTTTTATGTGTATTGAAAAGATGATACTTATCTGTGATGTTTACATTATTTATTGTAAATTTTTATTTTGATTTTGTGCTTTTTTGTAGCCACGAAGTTGGCAAGTTAATATTCTTATCTTTCAAGTCAATTTTGAATTATTTACCATTTAGCATCAAATTATCTAGTTACGTTTCAAATCATGGTCCATGTCAACTCAATGCACTCTGCAATCAACATGGATCTGCCTTAACCGACGTAAAACTTCTCATCAATTTATCTATCGGATAAATTAAGTGACGACTTTTGCAGTCTCAAAGTCTAAATTTAACGCGTAACAGTTAACGCTTCACATAGCCTTTGTCCCTTTGGAAACGTTTACCAAAGGTTATCCTGGACCGTTTACTATAGACTAATATCAAGCATTTCCATCTTGGTTGTATGACTGTTTTCGTTTTCATGTTCCTACTATTGTGAATACCGCATGATGTACGAAAAGAGCCAGGTTTTTAACGAGGCGAGAACTGATAGTTATCGAAACCTATTGCTACTAATTGTTTATTATTTTAAATATGTAACAGTCTTGCACTCTTTTCCGGCCAAACCTCAATCAGAACCCACATTATATTCAGCCAGAGCTTGGCGGTGTTTAATAAAATAAAATAAAATAATAAAATAAACATTCAGTGTTATATTTATTATCAATTTTTTGTGACATTGCGATATTCGATAGAAAAGATTTATTTTAAAAAGGAACACAATACTTGATATTTTTCTTGTACTTCATCTATGCTCATTGATTATATTTGGAAATCATAATTGCCTGGTGCGCATATTTGAAAAAAAGGATTGAACGAATAAATTATTGTCCTGCAACGTCTTTAATAAAATTATATTGTTCAAGCGATGTAACCGCAAACGCACGTTGACACCCAACCATTTGCAAATGTTCAGCAACAGACATCTCCTTGGGATTCTCCTTTCTACTATCCACCATGATATAAGTACCAGTACGTTCTACCCCCGCAATACAATGGACGACCATCCGTGATTTAAATTCAAATCTATTGTAGTACTCACGTACAACACGTTAAAAATTAAGAAACGATTCTTTCGATGGCACTCCGTGGTCCGGCCATTCAAGGTAGTGAAAGTGGTTCACGTAAAATCCAACTCCATTGACTCTGGATTTTACGTACAATTTGGTTCGTGTGTAGCTTTCGCAAATTCTTCTTCAAATTTTCATTGATTTTAGTTGAATTGAAAAAATCGATTACTGAAAATTACTAACTTATTTTTCAAATAAAATCACTTTAGAATTGATTTTTTTTCACGTATTCGTACTATGCTATAAAATGATTCAACGAATTCAACAAGAACATTCGCACTATCGGCTTGGAGTGCATGAATACTGCATATATCGGACCATTTAGATCACTCATACAATAATACTTGAAGATATGTCATGTTCATTGAGAAGTTAACAAATCCATCGATATGCAATAAAATGTATGACAGTTTTATCTATTGCCTTCTAAAGTATATCAACACCAATGCATTTGATTTAATCTTATCACGTTTGTACACAAGTGACGGCGTAATTATTTTAATAAAAATCGATATTTCAACGTATGAATTTTAAGTACACTTTAATTTATCACTAAGCACAAACGCTACTGTTTGAACCAACGTTCATATTACGTTTGCATTGCAACTTTCAATGAATATTATACGTCAATGCATCCAAATATATCCACGTATACATGCACTCCATGAACTGTAGACAAACGATTCCTGTTTTTCTATCAGAACTCTACAGTATATTTCCTTTCTGGTTTTCGATTGCTCTTACCAGTTAGTTAGTTAGTGATTGCCAGCGAGCGCATTCTTTTTTTTGCAACATTAATCGAATCTTGACAACCTACATCTGTTCCCAAGCAAAAATTCACACTGAATCGACGTTGCGTTTACACATATCTGACACTGTTCTCACACGGTTTTGAACGTCAAACCGTGTGGCTATAGTATAGTAGAGTTTGAAGTCGTTTGACACCATTTTTGATGTCAAATAACCATGTGGATGCAGTTTATGTTTGTATTGGACAGTGTGGAAGTCCGCCAGACTGTTTTAAATTTAAAACCATGTCGCCGAAGTGTATGACCGTTGCGTTATCATGGCGAATTTTGAAACCATTTTTGGTGTCGACTCTTGATACCTGAACAAACTTACACTGCATCCACACGGTTATTTGAAATCAAAAATGATGTCAAACGGCTTCACACTCTATTATACTATAGCCACACGGTTTAACGTTCAAAACCGTGTGGGAACAGTGTCAGATATGCGATAACGCAACGTCAATTCAGTGTGAATTTTTGCTTGGGGTTTGCATATTAATAAAGAATGAAGTCGCGTATTATCAATGTAAATGTGATCAGAACTCATAGGTGAAGAATGTTATTGGGATTTTTTCCTGTTTTCAACACCATTATAAATCAATAAAAATAAAAATAAAATAAAAATAAATTTTATTTAAGTCACGTTTAAAATACACAAAAACAATATTAGAAGATTAACATGGTTTTATGGTATCTGACATCTATTATAAAGTCAACATTAAAGAAAAAAATATCAAATTGCTCTTAGAAGTCAAAATATCCTCTTCTATCAAACATGTCCAGTAAGTATTTTACTTGTTCTGTGCACTCCGGATGTGAAAATAGTTTGTCACTCGTATTTCCATCTTTTTGGTCGCCATTTACTACATCAAAAAAGCCACCATCGTGGAATTTATCCACAAAACGTAGTGCAACGATGAACAAGATTATCAGAGTGGTGAATAAATCGATGCGATAGCAATCCGATTGAATGTCTAGCAATGTTGGTATTTTGCCAGGGAATTTCAACAGTTTCAAATACTTCACCAGTTCAGAGTGATAGTATTGAATGAGATGCTCTCGATCTCGTTGTCTAATCGAAGAATGAGAAGAGCTGTATAGCAAAGTAACCAAATCAATGGATGGACTCGCATGCTTCCCAAGTGGAAAATCAACCTGTGGAAATAATGTATCGTATTGAATTTCATCTGTGAAAAAAGTGTGAATTTGATTTTTCTCACAAAACGAATGTCAATCGGCTTTCCATGTTCATCATGACGATATAGCAAGTTGTTCACAAACATGTCTCCATGAGTTAAAACGTTGAAGGCGTCTGCCCGTGGAGCAAATGCTTTGTATGCTTCATCATAAGCTTTTTGTGGTATGTTTTGTAGCTTCACAGCAATTTTCTCATAACCGGTCCAGTTTTTGATAGAATTTGAGAGTGATTTAACAAGATTTTTCCAGAATTGTTGTACATTGGGTGCATTTTTGTAAACGTTTCTTTTTGTATACCATTCAAAGAGTTCAATATCCTGAAAAACGAAGGCTTTAGAGTGAAAATGTTTATTTTTCAAGCGAATAAAATGGTAAGCAAAATTATCGTTTAAAGAATACGTCGACATACAGTTAAGAGTAAAGTAACAGTGCCGGCATGCCATTTGGCTAGATTTTCAAGAGTCAATTTCATATGATCTGTATCTAATCCATATGTTCTATCTACGCTTTTGAATTGCTGATTCCGTAAATCCTCGAAAACAAGCATTCTTCGGTCTATATCAGCCATGAAACATCTGCGAGATTGAGTAAGTGTTTATTAGAATCATTTTATCTTATTTGTGTAGTAATTAAATGATTCTTCGTAATTCAATTCAATTCTGTTCAATTCCACAATTTCATGCCTGAATTCATCAAACATTTTCATGCGTTTTCAAATAAAAATCACTTTGATTATACCTTGGAGCAATTTGACTAGACACTCCCACTGAGTTCAGTGATTTTTCGACAGCTGGTAGAACTTTTGTGTACGCCTCAATCTCTCTTTCATAAATCAGGCACTCCTCACAGATTTTAGCGTAGTCTTCGGTTTGAATGGCAATTTTCAATAGAAAATCTCGTTGTTTATCTTCACTCTCGTTCTCATTCTCATATACAACTTCCAGGCCAACCATGACACTTGAAAAATTCTCACCGTCATTAAAACACTTTTTAGCATTGAACAATTTTAGAACGACATTTTTATTTGGTTCAGATTTTTCAATCAAACTTTGAACAAATTCAGCTGTAATCCACGGAAATAATTCTAGCATATTATTGTGAGAATTCATTTTGATTTCGGCCAAAACACACTTTTGATCAAAATCGCAATATTACTAACAATGGACGAATATATTGACTGAAGTATCAACTTCTTCTTTAGACCGGTTCTGCCACTTATCAAATTGTCACTGCCACTTAGCAGTGGATTTGTGCATTATTATGGTGTGCATATGATATTGTGATGAGCGAATGCCAGTTTGAGTGCTTAAATCGCAGATCATCACAAGTTATATGCGTTATTATCTATATCTAGAGACAAATACTGTCTCTTGCTACGTTTTGTGTACATTCACACACACACACACACACACACGGCGTCGCGCTCGACTCTCATTGTATATTTCAATATAAAGCAGGCGATAAGAGGCGAGCGCGCGAGTTGAGTTTACAAGTTTTGCGTATATATACAGCAACGGGTGTGTGAAGCGACAGTGTTTTTCACTAAGAAATGTGTTATCGGTTTGTTGGCGTTTTATTTTTTTTCTAATTTTAGAAATCAAAATATCCTCTTCTGTTGAAGATATCCAGTAATATTTTAATTGTTTGACACATTTGGGTTGCGAATACAATTTGTCACTTTCGTTGTTATCTGTTTGCTTATCACAAACAGATCTTCATGAGTTATAACGTTAAAGCCGTCTGCTTGTGGAGCAAATGCTTTGTATGCGTCGTCATAAGCTTTCTGTGGTATGTTCTGCAGTTTCTCAGCAATTTCCGCATAGCCTGGCCGATTTCTTACGGTATTCGATACAGAGCTGGAGCATTCTCATAAACATTTCGTATACCAGTTGAAAAACTCAAAATTCTATGCAAAAACAAATGAGAATTGTTTCATGTATTGAACATAATAAAGTAGGAGTGACCAAACCGTTAAGAGCAAGGTTGCTGTGCCAGCATGCCATTTGACCAAGTTTAACAGTGCCAATTTCATATAATCCATATCCAATCCAACGGTTCCTTCAACATTTTTGAAATGTTCACTTTGTAAGTCTTCGAAAACTAGCATTTTTCGACCAATATCACCCATGAAACATGAAAGAGTTCCTTATCCCACAGAGAAAAATAAAGAAAAACACACTATAAATAAATGAAACCGGTAGAATTTGAATTTTAGGTCGATTATAAAACAAATTTATCATTTATTCCTGAATAAATTGATTATGAATACAAAATTCTACAGAATAATCACATTGAATAAGGCAATGCGACGGTATTTTTTGTGAGGATTTTTACAGTCTTTTATTCGGGCTTTCTACAAAAGGTCAATGGTCGTTGTATCTCTTGTGGTATCCACACCAAAATTCTTCGTTCTTTTTTATTTCCTTTTGCTTTGAGTTTTCTTTTCTTTTCCTCTCATTTTTTTCCTTTGTTTGCCTTCGTTTCTCTTATTTCTTCTTCACTATATGCAGAACCTTCTTTGACCTAGTATTTTATCTATCGTTTCAATTTTCGCTTTATTAGATTCTTTCAACAACAAATTCGTCAACATTCTATCTGTGCGTGTTTTGTTTTTTTTTCTTCTTTCCGATCGATTTGACAGTTTTGATTCCACATAAATTTAATCTAATTGAAAAAATTTTTCCCTTCTTCATTTGATTCAAATGTGTCTATCTAAGCCGAGAAAAAAATTGAGCATTTTCAGTGTAAATACATTCCAAAATGGTACGATTCATTCGAATTCTAATTCGCTGTATCGATCATTTTTGGGAAAGTCTAATGGTAAATCGATCTAGGCGATAGAAAACTTGTCTAAATCGTAAACAAAATTCGGTTTATTCAAAATAAGATTTGGCCAATCACAGTTGCTCAATTGCGATCGAGTACATCGAATGCCAATCGGAAGACCAGTCGTCGTTTCGATTATGAGTTCGATTGTGGGGCCGCTGACGATGTACTCGGTTGCGATTTCTCTGGTGAGTCTAACTGTGCATGTTCATTGGCTGCTTCAGCTTTTGCTGGTGAGCAATTCAAATAGTCCCAAATGATGATGGTATCGTCGTGTGAACTGCTCACAATTTTAAATTCGTCAAACTGCAATCGGAATAATTTACCAGTATGTTCCTACGGAGGCAAACAATTGGCGAAGTGTCAATGATTGCGATAAAATTTGGAGTTTTTCAATCAATATCTTTAACATACCTCCATTGTAGCCAAACAGAGTTTGTTGTCTTCTATTTCTGGATTCAATGCAGCGACAAGGTCCCAAATCATGATTTGACCATCGTATGCTCCGCTTATAATACGCTTCGAATCAAAACGAAGACACCGGACTAACTCGGTGTGCCCCTCAAGAACACGAATACATTCAACTGATTCAACATTCCAAAGGCTGGAAAGAGAAACGATTTTCAATGGGATAAGATTCGAAAATGCCAATGAAGTTATACTCTGTTAGAGAGTGAGAGAAACTGCCTCTGTCTTGATGGTAATGAATGCGATTGACAATCGCCGATTGTGCAGACCATCATAAAATTTCGATGAAAAGAATCGCAAAATTCTCTTACCGAATCGTTCTATCTGAGCTGCCACTAACAACCAAGCGATCACGATATTGTAGACAGGCGATGCCACGCTCATGACCACGCAATGTACGAACACATTTACAGTCTGTTGTATTCCACACTTTGATTGTTCGATCACCCGATGCTGACACAATGTATTTGTCATCGAAGTCGACGACATTCACCGCTGCTCGATGGCCCATCAGCATCCGGCGCAATGAGAGCTCCTTTGTGATGGACATATCCCAAACCGCTATCGATTGATCCTATGTATCGAATGATATCAAAAAAATGGAATCGGGGCATCAGAAAAAGGGTAGACCAAAAGACGTTTTTATTGGAAAAATTCGAAATTTCCATGGTTTAACTTGAGCTGGGGCGTGATTTCAGTGTTGAGACATAAGTTAAAATTTGAGCTAAATCTATGTCATTCAACAAATGATGAATCTAAACCAGTTCCAATGAACATGTAATCAAAACCTAACCTAAAACAATGTTCAAAAGTGTCAATTCCAATACAATTTTACCTTTGAGCAAGTGACCATCATGCCATTGTCGAAGCGAAGATGTAGCACGGCTTCCTCGTGATGAATGTATGTGTTGAGTATTTCTCCGCTGTCAATATCCCAAATTCGGATCGTCGAGTCACTGGACCCAGTGATGATAACCTTCTCGTCATATTGCAGACAAAGCACCGAACCTGTATGGCCGGTCAGCGTTTTCACACACTGTAAATCGGCGAGATTCCAAATTTTGATCGTATTATCCCGAAGGCCAGACACAATTTTTTGGTCGTCATATTGCAAACAATAAACACCTCTCGAATGATTCGAATTGCAATTGATTCGCTGCAGTGTGTAACGACCATGACGCCAATTGTGCTCTAACTGTTCAATGTCGCTCATGATTCTCGGATACAATGTTCGATAGAATCGATACGGTTGCTGTACTGTACCGGTCTGTGGCTTGAACAAATGTTGAATCAATTTTCGGCGTTTGAACAAGCCGAGCCATAGTGAATTGGTCTTTGCTTTTCGTTCGTACAACCGTTTCCATAGCACACTCTCCGAAATCACACGCAACCATTCTTTGCAGACCAATTCGATGGCTGCTAGCGAATCCGCGTCCAAATAGAAGAGAATGGCTTCGGCGATGTGATGCATGCCATTTTCTGAAGATTGCGTTGAAAATCAGAATTCGTGGTTGATGATCGAAAATGTCAATGTTTCACATGAAAATGAACCGATGAGTCGGATACTTACTTGCCAACAGGGTAATGAAGTCTCTCTTGAGCAGCAAATCCAGGCGATCATTGATTTGGTCCAGCTGATTATAGTTCATTCTGTCCAGAAGCTGTTCAACGATGAACACTTGTTCCGAATCGTTCCATTTGCTGAACAATTCCAAACACAATTTACGCTCTGCGAACAACAAACAACTGTGGGTAAGCCAATGACAATGCTTGTGTTGAATCGCCAAATGTCAGTGTGAATGAATGGAAGAAAAAAAATGCCAAAAAATGAAGCTACTTACCGGTTCCAACTCGATATTCTGTGGACAATCCATCCAAATAGTCGTTCAGCGTCGATACACAGAATTTCGATAGGTCAGGCACGGACGATTCGTCGACTTGATTTGCAATTTGATCCTTGTGTGTATTCTCCGACGAATCCATTTTCACAGCGAATCGGGTCTGTTCTACTTTTCCAACAATTTTAATTCAATTCAATCACTTAATAATATTCGCCTTTTGATTTTTCGGTCAAACAAATTCCAATTTGATTAATTTTTCTATGGATTGATGCGTACACAAAATGAGGTTTTGTTAATTTGTGCTCAAAATGACCGACAGCTATGCACAATGACAATGATTACACATGAAGTTGGTTGCTGATATTCACACTAAACATTTTCGGATCACTTTGTTTGCAGGCCAGTTATGTCGCAGCGCCATCTATCCGAGCACAAAAATTCTAATTTAAAAAAATGCATAATTCCAATTTGATATGTTCAATTGGACTGAGCCAATTTCTTAGAAAATTCCGTCAGATCCGGATACAAAGAACCAGCCGGAGCATAGTAGGTTTCTGAAATGGAAAAAGAACAGTTTCGATTAGATTAAACAGCCTTGGGTTCCAATGTCCATTGATCAGTGACCAATGATTGAAATTAGAACATAAATCGATTGAAAATTGAATGAAAAACTCAGAATAAAAAATTCGATTGAATGAGTTTCAATCGGTGGGAATAAAAATGTCAATCATAAAATTTCAATTTTTTAAGTTAAGAAATTGCCAGACGTAATTTTTTAGGTACTTGATTGCAAAAAGAGCGACTTGGAAATAGATCCCTTAGCGATGGACAATGTTCATTTGAAAAAAAAAACAGTCAAAATGGATTGAAAGGTACAAATATTCTTGATCAAAAACCTACTTGGAATCTGTGGTTTAAAATCGGCGATAATAGCTTTGCCGGTTCCCTTCACCGTTTTCTTGGCCAATCCTTTTGGTGTGATCAAACTCATGTTCTGTGACAAGTTAATCATATTTCCCACGGTGTCAAATGTGCCCTGTGCGAGATTTCCGGCTTGTGGACCATACTTATGTTCAACGATTTTGACTGAGTTTTCGCTCAGATTTTTTCCCAAAATTCCAGCCGATTTCTCAGGGCCATTGTAAACCGTTCCGAAGCCTTCAACAGCACCAGCAGCAACGGTCAGAACACCACTCCTCTGAAAAATGAACATGTTTCAATGGAAATTAGTACTTAAAGGACATTTCACATCGAAATATTAGTTTGCAGTGTCAAAAATGAGAAAAAACCAATCTCAATTCAATACAAACCTTATCTTTGGCGTCATCAGTGCTATAGCCCATGGATTTGGACAACAGCTTTGAACCTTGAGCATGCACGTGTGGAGCAAGAAACTTACCGAGAGCCACAGTTGCACTGCCAACCTTCCCAGCTACATAACTCGTTACACCAACTGCAATTCCCGTGGCCGATTTGACAATCTCGATCCCATTAACCACTCCACTTGCATATATTGTCATACGTTTCTTGTGGTATATTGCCCAGCTTTTCCGCAATTCTCTCATAGCTTGGCCATTTTTTCACGGTACTTGATAGACTCTTGGCAATTCCTTTAATGAATCCCTCCATACTGATGCCATTTTTGTATATAATTTTCTTTTTGTACCATTCAAACAGTTCGATGTTCTGAAAGAGAAATTGAGTTACTTCAGAAATGTTCTGAAAATTTTTCAATATTCAACTAGCCCACCGTCAAAAGCAATGTAGCTGTTCCGGCGTGCCATTTGGCCAAATTCAGGAGCGCCAATTTCATATGTTCCATATCCAATCCATATGTGCGATCGACGCTCTTGAAATCCTGAAATCTCAAGTCCTCAAATACAAGCATTCGTTTTTCTGTATCAGCCAAAAAACATCTGTGGATTTTTGGGAAGGAAAAAAGGAAAACGAATGTTAAATCGTTCTTATCAAACGTAAGGAAGGTAGAATTAACCTGAAATGAGAAGTTTTATTCAAAAAATGAAAAAAAGAGAAACAGGTTGAACTGAAAATAACTTCCAATCATAATCACCTCGGAGCAATATCACCAGACACTCCAACTAATCCAAGAGCATTTTCTATGGCCGGCAATACTTTGGTGTATGTTTCAATTTCCTTTTCGTAAATGAGGCATTCGTCACATATTCTGGAGAAGTCTTCGGTTGGAAGTGCAATTTTCATAAGAAAATCACGTTTTTTTGCGCCAACATCGTATCCATTCTCAAAGATAACTTCCAAGCCAACCATGTAACTGGAAAAATTCTCTTCTGACTCGAAGCACTTTTTTGCACTGAATAACTTTACAGTTGCATCTTTTCGTTGTTCCGATCGTGCAATCAAATGTTGAACGAAACTTGATGTAATCCATGGGAATAATGCTAAAGTATTACTTTCTACACTCATTCTGATGCGATCAACAGCTTGCAATTGACTGAAATATGAGAGAATGATGAAAGACAAAGACGATCTTTGTTTACTATGATGAACAGATGTAATTGCTTAATAATCTCTTGACATCTATTCAATTGCCCATCAAAATGTATGTAGGTGGCGATAGTTGTGCATTGATAACCATTCCTATGAAAAAGAAGTGTCACAAATGACACATACGAATTGAAAAACAGCTCGGTTGCATTAGCAATAAAAATGCTCATAAAACTCGCTTTATTATGTGAAATGAAGAAATAAATAAAGACAATTACACAATTGTTATTTTTTGATCGATTACAAAGTAGAAAAAAAATGTAATTTAAGTATGCAGAGTGAATCAAGATGAGGTGGCGACAGTGTTTACCAATCGTTGGTACTAGCTAAATCTTCAAACAATTTGTCTTTGACTGCTTGACGAGGATCTTCTTTGATATCTGTTTTGATTGCACCGTATTCACCGAGCATGTATTCGAATTCATCGGCTGTCAATTTTTCGCCACGGAGATCAACCGGCCCAATGATTTGTTTGACGATTTGACCTTCGTAGTAAATGAAAATACTGGGCAAATTCTTCTCCGGGAAATTTGGTATGCATGTTGTGGCGATTGACTTGATGAACTTGACTTCGGGATAGCGAACGGCCAACTCAGTGATGAACTGGTTGATTAGCGCACACAATGGAATACCACGTTCGTACAAGTGCAGCACAACATAAATTCCTTCACCCGCTTTATTCACTTCTTCCACATAATCTTGACCGGAGATCTCGCGAACAGTACCAAATTTACTCTTTTCGGCTAACGCTTTCAATTCGGCAATTCGCTTGTTGCGGTATTCCAATAAGATTGCCTCATCTTCAGAGTCCTCCAATTCATCGAGCTCATCCATGTTCATGTCATCCATTTGCTTTTCATCTAAAAAAAAGAGTATAATACCACAAAATAATAAAAAATGATCGAAAACAGTCAAAGCAAAGTCAATTTTTAACACTTACTGTTCAATTTTTTCTCAATGGCTTTCTCTACCATATTCACCAATGATTCTTCGGTTATTTGAGGCTCTTCTTTTTGCGGCAAAATACCCTTTGAACGCAAAATATCATTCCATTCGGTATCTTCATTTGGGTCCTAAAACAAGAGAAAAGAAAACACTTGAGTTAAAAACTTCCAAGAAATTCTATTCGACAGCAGTTTGTCACGGTCGATGAGTCATTACTATATATGGAAATAATGGAACACTTGAATTGAGTTGCAGCGAAATTTGAATGAAATTCCCAATAAAAATCGGAAATTCATAAGTTTTTGAATTGCTACTTACCAACATTGTGCTTAGGTGTGTTTTTTCAACTGAGAAAACTGAACAAAATGAATAAAATCGAAAAAAATTGAAAAACAATTGAGCGAAAAAGTGGTGATGCTGCACTAAGATATACGTTCTGTTTTGCGAAAGTAATATTTTAAACCATGTGGTGAATTATTTTTGGATCATCTGTTTGTCATCGGACGTTTGACGTTTCAAACGTCACTCATTACGTCGTGAATGTCGTTGCTGTGAAACAAGTGCAATGTGTTTTATCATGGAAAAATCGATAATTTAACACGAATAAAGTTTTTTTGTATGGAGAAAATGGAAAATATATTATTTTTTAATTTTATTTAAATATTCTATACATAATTCGACTTCCCTTTTGTGATTTGAAGTTTTTTCCTTCACTCTCTTGTTTCTCTTGTTTTTGAGCATTTCGTACGTAAAACCGACACGTGCATACGGTACCCCTAAAAGCTGATTGTCAGCTGAAGAAAGACAATAGTTTACGCAATCCATGACAGTTTTCTTCTTATTCTTCTTTCACAGAGTCAGACGATTTATTGCAGCTCCTGTGCTATAGAGAGACAGACAGAGAGAGAGAGAGAGTGGAGTCAGAGTGTTTTTAATGTGTCTTCGACTCGGGAAAAGTAGGCAGATTGTGAGTTTTTATTGTTGTGGATGGTTGGCGAGTGAATTTTTGCTCGCATTAAACAAATGCCACGGCAGAAAAGTGATGGTTTTTAGGTTGAAACCCGACCAATAAATTGCATTGAAAAATTAGTTAACCAATCTATCTCTATATATCTATAGTGTTATTTTTTTTTATTGTGTGTTCGCATTGAATGAATGTGTTCTATTGTTCACAATAACACACAGAGTTGCCCAGAAAGAAGATCAAGTTCAACAAATCAACATCGATTACCACCATGAGTCAGAAAGATTCATTGTCGAAATTAAAGAATTTCTTTCGCATGGATAAAAATTCCAGCGGTGAGTTGAATGACATATGTGCAAATGGTACAAAGCACTTGAACAAACAAATACAAATGAATTGCTGTTTCTGTTTCCATTCTGTATGGCTTATGTCGTAAACAGGGAGTAACCGTGAAAAAACCGATGCAGACTTGTTGCATGAACTAGAAGTACTGATTCAACCGCAAGTCGCTGCCCCGCAACGATGCAAAACACTCAAAGAGCTATGTGAATCGGACAAAATCAGTCGTCTAGAAGATGTGAGTGTTTTTTATGCAAAAATTTTTTTCCCCTGGTCACTATTCCAAACTTGTTTTTTTTTCGCTCGTTGAATAGGCGACCATCATTCGGTTATGGGAGTTGACCAAGGATTTGATTACATCGATAAAACCGTTGGAACAGCGTCACATCACCTATCGTTTTTATCAAAAATTGGTACAATGCCAGTATGAGGATTTGTCAGTGATTCGGCCGCATTTTTTTCGTGTAATCAAAGAGAATGATAATTCAGAGGATGTACAATGCCAATTGGATTTACTGAAAACATTGACCGATAATGGTAAAAATATCAAAGATATCGACGATGTTATCGGTGAATTCATTTTGAACCGGTGGCTAGGCAAACTCCAAGAGACAAAACAAGTGAGGGAAATTTTGGTCATGGTTCACAATATCATCGTTTATAATGCCGCTTATTTAGATCCGAGAATTGTCGACGGAATCATAACGTAAGACCAACCCTAATCAAATCTCCTGTTTCACCTCTTTCACTCAACATTTTGGATTCTATTGCAGTTACGCGTGTTTGATGTGCTGTACACAGGATGATATTGTTTTGCAGTGTTTAGATATTTTGGATGCAATCCTTTGCTACACCGTACTGCCAAACCGAATGCTGCCCGAATGGGTGAATGCCCTGTGTCGAACTGTGAACCGTGAGATTTATGTGCAAAAATCATGGGACATTATGAAAAAGTTGCTTGGCACAAAAATGGGCCATGCCGCACTGCTGTATATGTGCAATCTGCTCAACAATTCGAGTTATGTGAATGAAGATGCATTGCTACGCGGTGCGGTCTTTTACATTAACATGGGACTATGGGGCTCCACCTGTTCCAAGGCCAATGATCTTTTTAAACAATCACCAACTTCGGTTTTACAGAGTTTTTTGCTCGTAAGTAGAGAGTTTGCCATGAAAATTCGTTTAAAAATGAAATATATCAGTTTTTTTTTTTACCAAGTACTTTTCTTGCTTATGTTTATCAAAATGTCGGCTTTTCTGCCCAGAAGTCATATTCAAAACAAGTAAACAATATGACAATTAAACATGAAATCACACTTTCACAGGCTCTAAAAAGTCAGCGAGTGTTTGTAACATACGAAGTGATCATTGGAATTCAGCGATTGATTCAAGTGTCTGGGCGTGATTTAAGCGAACCAACTTGGGATGTTTTATGTGAAATTCTACGAACAATTGCTGATAATATTCAATACTACGGTAGCGTACATTTCTAAGAGATATTATATATTATGAGCTGGCTGTTGGTCAAATCAAAGTAAAAATTTTCTGAATTTTATCTCAATCGAAACAGAGAACGATGGCCTTCCGAAAGATAGTGTAATCCAAACTGCATATCACGAAGCACTCGGTAAAATTGAGCAGCTTCTTCAGCGAAAGGAAGCAGCTACTGATCCACAAACAATATACTCAGTGATTGAATACGTCTGTGAAAGTCGATCCGAAGAGTCAATCATGCATCTCATGGAGTATAAGGCGACAAAAATTACTCCCACCCAAACACAATGGCTGATTGAATTGAACAAATTTATGAGTCGATTCTTTAATATGCAAAATTATAAAATAAGAGACAGATCATTGCACGTGCTCAAGCGTATCATGGATAATAACAGGTAAAACAATAGGAAAATACTCAAAGGAAATTCAGTTGTTATAACAAGTTACTTTTTAAAATGGTCACAGATCGGCATATGAGGAAGAAATCTTGGAGAGCATTGTCATTCCAACGTTTGCAAACATTGCACACGAGGCTGATGCAAAAATTCGCACGAGTGTCGGTGAGTTACTTCTGAAGTTTGTAGCACAGTGTGATACAAAGCGAAGCATTGAATTGCTTGACATCATTGAGAAACTATTGAATCGGCCGTTCGTTGAATCGTCCATTGATGAAAATCGCATTGTTTTGAAAAACGACGAAGAACTCTCGCACATCACCAATATTATCGATGAATTGATACGGGTGAGTTGAATGGAGATTTAGCTCTCAATCCATTGTTTAAATGAATATGCCTTTGTCTAAAATCAGAAATAATAATCATAATCAAATACTTGTTTACAGGTGTTTCTATCGAAACTCTATACCCTACCAACGGTACATGCCATTAAAATATTTTCAATGTTAAATGCGCACCTGGAGAAATATTACCAAAAACCAATGTTACTCGAGGCATCAGTTCAAATTCGAAGCAGCATTTTTGCATGGTTGTTACGAATTCGAGCCAATGCCAACTATTACGTGGGCTATTTGGATGATTTCAAGAGTAATCGTATACGGTTCAGTCATTTCCTTAGTATCGACGCGAATGAAATGAGCTATCATCAGGGAAGTCGACAGCAACAAAACCAACCAGCACCTCTAACGCAACAATCTTCGCAAGAGAACGAAACACAAACCACCATTTCAATTAAGCGAAGCTGCAAAATCATCATTGATTGCTTGATTACCGAGAACGATTGGTCCGTTATGCAACTGGTTTTGAAGGGTTTGCCGTTGATTTTACAAAATAAAGCATTGTTCAGAGGTGTTGACATGGAAACATTGGCGACGGCCATCATCGGATTGGTGACAAAGGTAGAAGAATAGGATTTTATTTGTTGATATGTATATCGATGTACAAATTTAGTTTCATCTTGAGAACAATGAATTCTTCAACCAAAAGCGTCTGTAATTAAATGAATTTTTGTTCATATTCTGTACAGGCACAACACCCAAACACTAAACCACGGATCGACATATTTATCTCAACAACGCACAAGCCACAGTTGTCCGATTTCCAAGCACTAGTTATAAACGGAATCGCCGCTTTGATTCCATATCATCAAAATCTCAGCGTACCAAATCAAAATCGAATGATCACTTGCTTACGGCCTGGACTTCTTTCGCTGGAAAATACACCACGCGTTTGTATTCAAGCGTTCACAGTGATGCTCATGGAGATTTTAGAGTTGATGCTGCGTCATTTGGCTGAAATTCTCTTTGACATGAGTCGAATGTCAACAACTTTGAATGTTGCTGTTCCGGTGTTGGAATTTTTGTCGAGTAAGCCTGAACTAGATTCAGTTTTTGTTTCCATCGAAAGCAACTTTCGATTGATTAAAATATCCTTCCTTTTCATTTTAAGCTCTTATATTTGATTCTAATCGTTCACTTTCCACTTTTACAGCTCTCAGCCGTTTGCCGAGTCGTCTATTTGCCAATTTCACAAACACCCAATACATGTATGTGTTTGCAATATCATTGCCATACACAAATCCACACAAGTATGACCATTACACGGTTTCATTGGCACATCACGTAATTGCTGGGTGGTTTCTCAAATGTAAGCTGTCATGGCGAAAGGATTTTGTGTTATACATTTTAAAGGGCTTAACAACGAATGTGCAAAAGCCATTCGAAGAAATGAAGCGTAACGATTATGCGCCAATCAATGAAGATTCATCCAATCGAAAGAGGAGTTCAAGTTTAACGGAGCGCGGTGCAAAACAACGTGACCAACCATCACTGCAGAATTTGCACATCAAAAAAGATGAGGCGGCCGATGAAGTGGCGTACAATTTCCACATGGAATTGGCAGACACATGCATTGATTTCCTGTCTCGGCACACATATTCCACATGCTCAGCCCTGCCGAAGCGATCACCAATGGCCGAATATTTACTGACAAATGGTCATTCGATGTCTTGGTTAGTCGGTCATAATGTGGTCACTATCACAACGAGTGGATGCTCATCGACTGCAGTTCGAAATGGGCTATGCGATCGTTGTATTTTGGTATGCAAATCGGCCAAATCAACCGAACCGAGTTTATCGAATGGTGCCACATCGCCTGAAGTGAGTTCGTTGAAATCCAGCGGCAGTGAATTATGTCGACGATATACCAAAGCCACATTGCAGCACAACAGTGGCGAGGTTTCGGAGAGTAGTGAGTTTTCAAATTCATCATCGATGACAACGCCATTCGGTATGAATTCCGATGCAAACAAATTTTTCAAGAGCACAACGGGCAGCTTGGATGCATTGTCACGTCGTGGCAGCAACCCAGACACATTGGATCATTCATCGGAAACGGTTAGCAAACATGGTTCAATCGGTAGTCATCCGATGTATTTGTCGCCACAGCAGAGCATTGAGAGAATAAAGCAAGTGTGCATTTGTGCTTGTTCGGGATGGGCAGAGATTGTTATCAGACGTCCAACGGGAAATATGTCGTGGATAATGAAAATACAGAATCACATCGCATTGGATTCACTATCATGTGATGTACCGCTTCAAGATTTAATAAACATGTGCACACCATCGTTGGGTGAAGTTTACAATTTTCAAGATCTTTTGAATGAAGAACCACTTTGGAGTAATGTCAATATCACTAATGAGCAAATGGCAACGACTGAAGCGGCAAAGAAGAAGTCGGTCACATTGGAAACAAACACCACGAAAGCGATTGAAGTAGCTGAAAAGAAGCCAGAGCCAATAGCACAAAGTGCTGCAACACAAAAGACCGAAGCTGTACCTATTCCTTCTGCTATTGCTACAGAGAGCAACGCATCAAATACGCATCCATTGAGTGGGCCGATTAATATTCCCAAATCAGCAAATACAGAGAAATTTCCATCAGGCAGCTTCAGTGATGCAGAGCCCGAAGACGATGACGGTAATGGTGTGGCTTTCGATGAGAATGAATCGCGGTCACGAAATCCAGTACGTCGTGTTAATTCAAGCCCAGAAATGAGCTCGAATTGGCGCCATCCATTCATTGGACAGAAACCAAATCAACCGCAAGCGACGGTTGTAAATTTAACTGCACATGGAACAGGCGACGATGAATTCAGTATCACTGATAACGATCAACAGCAGAAGAAAAAGAACCTACGGCCGAGGTGAGTTTAGTTCTATTTCAATCACAATCAATTTCACATTCGACTTTTTTAATTGATGAAAATTATTTTTTTACTTGTCTTAAAAATGAAGCTGTGAGGCAATTCCGGAAGAAATTAGCGATGCAACACCACCGAAAGCCATTCAAATGGATCAGCATAAATCAAAAGTTGGAGGAACCGTTTCAGTAGTTGCGAGTGGAACAGCAAAGAATCAACATCTTGATTTTATTGTAAAATCCAATTCAGCACAAAACTCTTCGACATCATCCTCTTCGTCGACATCATCGTCAACTGCAAAATCAACGCAAAATTCGTCTGTTGACAGTTTGATGCCGTTGAATCAAAGTGCAATGCCAAGAAAGCAGCATTCAGCTGACGATGCATTGCAGCAACAAGATCAAGCACAATCGCGTCAACAGCCACCGATGAATGAACCACGGCACAGTTCGTCTGGGTCAGCAATCAATATTGGTGCATCTTCGGCAACCAAATTCAAATTAAATATTGATATGCCGAATTTGGCCACAAAACCACCGCAATCCCATGCACCACTGTCACCACGTTTGCTGTCACGAAACAACATCGAAATATCACATTTGAATAGCTCGGCGAATTTCAATGACTTCCAAAGAGGTCGATCAAAAACCATATCAGTCGTGAATCGGGGTGAACACGACAATCGTGATAATTCGAAATGGACTTTTAAAGGCAGTAAGTTTGACGTGAAATAAAATGATGAAACTAAATTTACATAATAAAATACCATTCAAATTTTCAGCTCGATCGGTGCTCAGTCCAAATTCGATCTTTCTACAGTTATTCTACACAGGCCCAAACAAAGTAACCGAACAGCCGCTTTTAATCAATCCGAAAAACTCCAGAACAATCGAGTGAGTATAATATTCGTATTAATTGAAAAAAAAAAAACGACAATTGCTTAAGATCAACTTCATTTTCAGTATGATCAACTATATTCCACCATTTGAAACGCACAAAATTGGAGTATTATACGTTGGCCGTGGTCAAGTTAACAACGAAATTGAAATATTGAGTAATCGATATGGAAGTATGCGTTACATGGATTTTATTCAGAATTTGGGCGCTTTGGTCTCGCTGAAAAATGCCAAGGATCTGAATTTATTCATTGATATGGAGACAGACGGCAGAGATGGCAATTTCACATACATTTGGCAAGACGATATCATTCAGGTGACATTCCATGTTGCAACGCTAATGCCAAACAAAGAAGATGATCCCAACCGAACGGAGAAGAAGAAAAATATTGGTAATGACTACGTAACAATTGTCTACAATGAAAGTGGTGAAGAGTATAATTTGAATACGATCAAGGGTCAATTCAACTATGCATGTGTGATCATTGAGCCACTTGAACTGAATAGCAATCGCATATACGTACGATGTAAGGATGAGGTGGCCAAATTCATCTGCCATACAGAGCCAAAAATTATATCCGATGCAAGTGCCCCGGGCTTTGCCAGACAGTTGGCATTGCATGCAAATGTAAGTGGATAAATTAAAAGCCAAAATATGATGATCACATGAACATTCTATTTAAATAACTTTTTACTTCAATCAACAGTTAGCATCTTTGGTAGCAAAATCCCTGGCAACAAAAAATGCAAGACCATACGCATCAAACTGGCTAGAAAGACTCCGCCGGATCAAACATCTACGATCGAAGGTATCGTCTTTTAAATCAAATTGATAAAGAGTTTCGTTCAATAAACAATATTCATTTTTGATTCTAGATATTAAAAGAGAACGGATCATCGGCTTCAACAGTCAACAATAATGCAAAGAACGAGAGAGAAACTGAGGATTTCACTCAATATACATAAAGCATAAACGGAGTTTAAGCAAAATATCTATTTTTTATTTAGTGTATAAGGAAATCGAAATTGGTTCATAAATTGCTTACAAATTATATTTGATACAATCATCATCATCTAAAACCACGTGTTGTCTCATTTAATTTAGAAAAAATATTAAAGGTTAGTTCGACGCAATCGTAAGTATTTTCTGTGGCAATCACTTTATGATCGAATCGAGCGTTTGGTGAATTATATCAATGATTGTTTGATGGCTCAACCATTGCTTTGAGTTCATCGCGTACGACTATTCATAGAGTATTCACTAAAACCAACAAATGCGTAGGTAATTTGTCTTGGATACATACAATATTGAAAGAGTTCTGGTTTTGCTGGTCTTCTTTTCGGTAGAAAATGACGCATTGGTGACGAACGCAGAAATATTGATCACAAATCCAATACTAATGTTTAAATTTCTATGCAACTTTGGACACAACAAAATGGTCTCATTTCATTTTGAAAACTAAAGTAAATAGAAAATAAAAGTATTCGATGCATTTATTCGATCAGTAAAAATTCGTTGTTTTTATTGTTGTTTGATCAATTATAATAAACAATTAGTCATGTAAACATGGGTATAAATTCGTTTGTTATTCAGATTTGCCGAGTACCATCGCAAGCAATGCCATTCTACAATACATTCCATTCTCGGCTTGTCTGAAGTATGCAGCGCGTGGATCATTGTCGAATTCCTTTGAAATCTCATCAACGCGTGGCAGTGGATGCATAACAATCATACGACGCTTGGCCATTGTCATGAGATGCGGCGTTACAACGAAGTGACCACGTACACGGTTGTACTCTTCTTCCGTTTCAAAACGCTCCTTCTGGATTCGTGTCATGTACAAAACATCTGTTTCAGGCAGAGCTTCAGCCAAACTGCTGTAAATCTGTTTGAAGAAATTCATGTTATTCAATTGAATGTGAAATGTATACGAAATTTAATCTAGATCCTGGACAGTCTTTTCATTTACCTTTTGCTTGACACGTTTCATTTCTGGACTGTTTGTTATATGCTCTGGCATAGACAAACTTGGCGGGCTGACGTAATTCAATTGAACATCATACAATGTTAGCAGCTTGGCCAAAGAATGAACAGTACGGCCATTCTTCAAATCACCCACCATTGTAATTGTCAATTTGTTAACAGTACCGATTTCTTGTCGAATCGTGAAAATATCCAGCAAAGCCTGTGTTGGATGCTCTCCCACGCCATCGCCAGCATTTATGATTGGTTTTCGACTGTGTTGACTTGCTTGCTGCAAATAGAATCGGAAATTATTCGGTTAAAAAATAGAAAAAATGAAGAAATCAAGAGAAAAAAAATGTAAACCAAAGTTTAACATACCAAAACGGCTCCACGATCTGGATGGCGCAACACGACCACATCGGAGTAGCCGGCCATAACGGTAATACTGTCACTGAGAGTTTCTCCTTTTTTAACTGATGAGCTCGACTCGTTCATGTAAATGACTTGTCCGCCCAATCGGAGCATGGCAGCGGCAAAACTGCAATTGGTACGTGTGCTAACTTCATAGAAGATCGAAGCCATAATTTTGCCACGAAGAATATCAAGAGTGTTGCGTTCTTTAGCGACACGACTCTTGAAAATCTGTGCCAAATCAAAGATATCATTCAATTGTTCTTTGCTGAACATGCTAGCGCTGAGAATGTGCTTTCCGTACAATCCATGTTGAATGGACGCATTTTGTGCGGTCGTCACTTGAACCAACTCTTTTAATGTTGTATTACTGGCTGAATCACATCGTACTCTTGGCAATGGCGATGGTTGTCTGATGATTCGGTCGGTCGAAGCGAAATGTACATTTGGCTTAACAACTGGTTCGGCCAGTAGTTTTGTGAAGAAATCATTTGTTTGAACATCATTCATCAATTCAGACGTTTTGGAGTCTTTCAAACTGGTTTCGAACACATCACTGCCAGCCGATAGATTCTCAATCTTCTCCAAAACATGCTTGTAATCTGTCTTCGAAACGGTGTTCCATTCACGAACATTTTGACCATAGCCCGGCTCAATCAACACTTCACCATCGACAAATGCTACTTCGCCACGCAAAACAACACGATGAACGGATCCTTTGACTTTCATTCCAGCGAATGGTGTCCAGTGTGCTTTTGAATGGGTCGGTTTCGCTGGAATCGTCCATTCTTCATCCAAATCCACTTCGACATAAGTATTTGGTTGTTCTGGTAAATTGAAAATTTTGCGTGGATTGCGATGAAATTTATTGATAACATCTTCAAGTGTTAACCGCCCTTCATTGACTGCATTCAACAGCAATGGCAGAATCGTTTCAAGGCCTGGGAAACCTGGAGGCGGTTTAGCTGAATCTTTTTCGTCGATGGTGTGCGGTGCATGATCGGTTGCAAACACATCAATGTATTCTAAATTCTCCCATAGGGCGGCTTGATCTTCCGGCGAACAAAGCACCGGTCTCACTTCGGCACGACCCGCACCAATTAGAGGAATGTCATCGGTTGACAAGAACAAATGATGTGGGCATACTTCGCATGTGATTTTCATGCCACGTTTTTTGGCCGTTCGAATGATTTCCATTTCTTCTTTTCGTGCAACGTGAGCAACGTGAATGGAACGCTCCAAAACATTTGCCAAAAATATAACGGCGGCGGTTGATTGCCGTTCGGCGTGCACAACAAGTGGCGCTCCTTTTGGCCAATTTTTCAAATGTTTCTTCCAAATGAGCATATCGTTTAGCTGAAGCGTTGAGAACGTTTGATTTAAGTACATTTTAAGTGCAGCTGCTTCTGCTGCTAATTCATGGATCACATCGTAATTGTCAGAGGATGCACCCACATAAATACCATAATCACAACGTGCCTTCAGTTTGGCAATGTCTTTCACCAATTCGAATGCGTCTTTATCGGTGATTGTAGGATTGGTATTTGGCATAGCTAAAACCATTGTCACACCACCTGCCAATGCTGCAGCCGTACCTGATGAAAAGTCTTCTTTGTGCGTTGCACCTGGATCACGCAAATGTACGTGCACATCGATGAAGCCCGGCAATTTCTTGATATTGCGCGATGTCATGCAATCGGTGTGTGTTTTCATTACAGGTGCTCCGCCAATCAATCGCATCGCTTCGACCAACAATTTGGTACATTTTACATCGGTAACCAGTGGAATGGTTAAATCAACAGCCAATCGTCGAGTACGGTAGCCATGCGTGATGAACGATGACACTCGGCGACCGCCACCATTTCGCATCGGTAGATTGATTACCAAGTCAATATTTTTCTCAGCCAAGAATTCAGCCAAATACTGTTGATCACCACTGTCGCCAGATTGGTCGAGCTTTTCGAATGTCCAGTGAACCGATTCGATCTGATTTTGGATGAAATGAGAGGAAATTTAATGAGTTTTTATTACTGAGGAGTTAAAACTAGAAATCAAATTGTCTATTTAATTGAAATAAAATCAAAAATCCAAATTAAATAAATTCTAAAATATCTAAAAATTGATGGTAAAATTGTCTCATAAATTAAGCTCGTCGTTTAGAAGAGGGAATATACTTCAAACAGTTTTTTTTTTTGAAATTTCAATTGATTTATAAAAAAACCAAAAATCCACATTATTTGATACTCAATCAAAAAATAGAACGAAAAATAATCATCAACTCACATCAACACCGTGTTCAGCGTAGAAATCACCGGTTCCCATCGATGCGTACAATTTATAACCCATTTTCGATAGAGCGCGAACAGATGGCAACAATTCCAATTTGTGCTGTAACAAAGAGTCATTAGAATTTATTTTTAGTTACGCACGATGATTATGCAAATAAAAACAGCTGTGTAACTAGTTACCTTGAAACTGCCGATACTAAGCAGAATTGCACCTTTTGGTATTTGGAAACCGGTTGACAGCATGGCTTTCAGGTATGCTTCATAACGATTATCACCGAAACACGCGACTTCACCAGTTGAAGCCATTTCAACGCCCAACATAACATCGGCCCCGGCCAAACGAGAGAAACTGAACTGTGGTACCTTTACGCCGACCTAAAAGTTGAAATAGAAAAAAGAATCCAAATGTACATTCATTGTGTAAAATGCCTATTAAACACTCCCAATGCTGTGTGAGATGAGAGTATTTAATGATATTTATTTGATATGAATAAAATTTAAAAAAAAGTTACCCGTCCGCATCCTTTTAATACGTTCACCGGTTCAACATCCATTCCGACGATGACTCTGGTGGCCAATGCCACAAAATCGAAACCGAGTGCTTTCGAAACGAATGGGAATGAACGTGAAACTCGAACATTACATTCGATGACTTTGAGTTCGTTGTTTTTGGCGATAAGTTGCATGTTAAATGGTCCGGACACATCCAAAAGTGCGGCAATATCACGAGCAATAATCTTGATTCGTTCAAGTGTTTCACTGTTGATGTCCTGTGGTGGTGTTACGAGAGTGGCATCACCTGAATGAACTCCCGCATTTTCAGCGTGTTCCGAAACGGCCATGCACAGAATTACACCGTCGCAAGCAACAGCATCAACATCAATTTCTTTGGCTTCGGTCAAGAATTTCGAAATTACGACTGGGTGTTCTTTGCTCACATCCGATGCTGATTTCAAATACTCTTCCAAATCTTGATCATTGTGTGCGACATTCATTGCGGCACCAGATAGCACATACGATGGTCGAACTAAACATGGGTAGCCGACTTCATTGGAAAATGCAAATGCTGATTTTAAGTCGGTCAATTCTTTCCATCGCGGTTGTAAAATGCCCTTTCGGTCCAACATACGTGAGAATTTGAAACGATTCTCAGCACCATCGACACTTTCCGGTGAAGTTCCAAGAATTCGCGCTTGTTGACGATGCAAATCCATGCAAATATTGTTGGGCAATTGACCGCCCATCGACAAGATTATACCTTCTGGATCTTCGTATTCGTAAATATCCATAACTGATTCGAATGAAATCTCTTCAAAGTACAAACGATCGCACATGTCATAATCGGTTGAAACGGTCTCCGGATTGTAATTGACCATAATCGTTTTTCGGCCAAGTTTTTTCAGTTCACGCAAACAGCCGACGGCACACCAATCGAATTCGACTGAGCTTCCGATTCGATAGACTCCGGAACCGATGACCATTGTATGATCGGCGCTTGGTGTGACAATATCATTTTCATTTCCATTGTATGTCAAATACAAGTAATTTGTTGTGGCTGGCCATTCACCCGCCACCGTATCAATTTGTTTGATCGATGGTAATGCACCGATTTCTTTACGATGTTTTCTCACAGCCAATTCAGTACTTCCAACCGCTTGTGCCACTTGTTTGTCCGAAAATCCGAACTTTTTCGAGCTAATCAGCATTTCGTCTGACAGAATGCCACCGAGTGACTCCAATGCGGTGATATGTTGGATGATATTTTGGAATTTGTTCAAAAACCATGGATCAATTTTGGTTAGCTCGTTAATTTTCTCCACGGAATAACCAGATTTAAGTGCTGCTGCCAAGACATACATGCGTTTATCGGTTGGTTGTTTCAGTTCAACATCGTTCACTTGTTTTACGTATGGATCGAATCCGTTGACATTTTCATCGACCATTCGCAACGCCTTTTGAAATGCCTCTTCGAACTTTCGACCAATGGCCATCACCTCGCCGACACTCTTCATTGAACTACCGATATTTTTACTCACGCGCATGAATTTGGCCAAATCCCATCGTGGCACTTTTACTACACAGTAATCCAAACTTGGTTCGAAACAAGCCGTTGTTACTCCGGTAACGGTGTTTTTGATCTCAGGCAATGGAATGTTCAGTGCTAATTTAGCGGCAACGTAAGCCAAAGGATAGCCGGTCGCTTTGCTCGCCAGCGCTGAGCTTCGAGACAAACGTGCATTCACTTCGATGATGTAGAATTCTTCTGAATGCGGACTGAGAGCGTACTGAATGTTACACTCACCGACGATACCAAAGTGACGAATGACTTTGAGCGCCGTGGCTCGAAGCATGTAATATTCGCGATTGCTCAATGTTTGTGAGGGTGCTACAACGATACTTTCGCCGGTGTGAATGCCAAGTGGATCGACATTTTCCATATTACACACGGTTATACAGTTGTTGTATGCATCACGAACGACTTCGTATTCAACTTCTTTCCATCCCTTGAGAGATTTGTCAATGATCAATTGCTTTGAATGTGCCAAACCTTGTTCGGCCAATTTGATCAGCTCTTCTTTGTCGTTGGCAAAACCACTGCCCAAACCACCCAACGCAAATGCAGCTCGAATCATCACTGGATATCCCAAATTTGAAGCGGCAGTCAATGCACCTTCAACTGAATAAACGCAAGCGGATGGTGCAACTTTTTCTCCAATAGAATTAACACGCTTAGCGAATATTTCACGGTCTTCAGTTTCAATGATCGATTCAATTGGTGTACCGAGAATTTTCACGCCATATTTGTCAAAGATGCCATTTCTAACCAGCTCAACGCCACAATTCAATGCAGTTTGTCCGCCGAACGTGAGTAAAACACCTTGTGGTCGTTCTACTTTGATGACTTGTTCGACATATTGTGCGGTGATTGGTAAAAAGTACACTTTATCAGCCATTCCACGGGAGGTTTGCACAGTTGCAATATTTGGATTTATTAAAATGGTTTGAATGTTTTCTTCTTTAAGTGCTTTAATGGCTTGTGAGCCCGAATAATCGAATTCACCAGCTTGACCAATCGAAAGACCACCCGAACCCAAAATGAGCACTTTACGTGGTTTGGTAATTTTCACATTTTTGCCCGGTTTGAATTCCAACTCTTCGATGATGCGTTGTTTCACATTGAAGCCGGCGTTGCTATTGTTTTTCACAGCATCCAAAAATACATCAAACAAACATTCAAGATCGTCTGGACCGGCTGTGTGCTCGGGATGGAATTGTACACTGAAGAATGGTTTTTCGTTGTGTACAATACCTTCGTTGCTGCCATCGTTGCTGTTTTCAAACAAAATTTCCCACTCGTTGGGAATTGTCTTCGAATCAACGGCATAACCGTGATTTTGTGAGGTCATATAACAATTTCCGGTGCCTTTATGGACGCAAGGCAAATTATGACCACGATTTCCGTACAACATTTTGTACGTTTTGCAGCCGATGGCAGTAGACAGAAGCTGATGTCCCAAACATATACCAAAAATTGGCTTCGTTGTGCCCGACTCAATCACATTTCGAATATTGGCAACGGTTTTCTCGCAAACAACCGGATCACCTGGACCGTTGCTCAGGAACAGACCATCATATTCTTTGCTATCTAATTTATGGTTCCATGGCACAACATCAACACGAGCACCACGCTTTAGGAAGCAGCGGATTTGATTCAATTTTAACCCGCAGTCAACGGCACAAATGCGAGGATAACCATTGGCATTGTACGTTTGGACGGATTTCACAGATACTTCGTCGACAAAATTTCGTTTGCTTTGGTCAACAAACGCAGCCGTTTTTCGAGCGGAACCATTTTGGATGATTCGACCTAGGATGGAAAGTGGAAAATGAGAAAAAAAGGAAAAAAAAAAACATTTCAATAATTCAAAAAATGTTTTAAAATTCAACATTCAAAATTTCTTCAAGAAAATCTCTTGATTTGTTTTGCAATCTCATTTTTATTAGTATGCATTTTTCTTTCCAATTTTTTTTTGCATATTTCGACATCAAGCATAAAACTCCCAAACGCCACTTACCCATAATCGTGCCCTTTTCACGAATCTTCTTCGTCAGTGCACGTGTATCGACGCCGCTAATACCGGGAATGTTATGTTTTTTCATCCAATCCGAAAGCGATTGTTTCGAACGCCAATGTGACGGCTTATCGCACAATTCATCGACAACCAGCCCATCAACCCAAATTTTGTTCAACGATTCAAAAAATTTCGGCAAGTCATATTCATCTTTTTCCTCTCCTGGAATACCATAGTTACCGATCATCGGATAGGTGAGCACAAGAATTTGTCCATGATACGAGGGATCGGTCATCGATTCTGGATATCCAACCATTCCGGTTTGAAAGACAACTTCACCATCTATATCGATTGGTGCGCCGAAGCTCTTTCCTTTGACCGAACTCAAATCTTCAAACACTAATTCTGCTTCCATTTTTGCTACTCAGTTAATTAACTGCTTTACAATTTTTTTTTATTTTTCTATTCAAACAATGATCTGAAGGAAAGAAACAGAGAATGTGGTAAGAATATGGAAAATTCGATAAGGTATTGAAAAAAAAAAATCCAGGGCCGTAGCCAGGATTTTTCCTTGGAAAGTGTGGTTCCACTTTACCAAGTGATAACTTGCCCCGAAAAAACAACTATTTTGAATTTTCGAGGTTTTTGACCAATAACTTGAAAAATGTCCAAAAGCCAGCCCACTTTTTTTTTCAAAATAGTTGTTTTTTCGGGGCAAGTTATCACTTGGTAAAGTGGAACCACACTTTCCTAGGAAAAATCCTGGCTACGGCCCTGAAAAAATCAGCAAAAAATACGCGGGAAATGATTAAAAATCAAACGCGAAGCAAAACACACAGAAGAGGAAAGATAAGAAAGAGATTGTCTAAATCTGCCAAAGAGATTTTGTCATCAGTCAAAACGGCATTTTCTTGTGTAAATAAGTCGGTGAACCCCACGTTTAATCGAAAAAATGGATGGCAAAAAATTAATTCATCTTCAAATATCACAAAATCAAATCGGCCACCAAGCCCATTTGAGTTAGAATACAATCGTTTTATTCAAAATTCACCGAGACACGCAATACATTCACGCGATGTGTGTCACACGTGAGACGAATTTGTAGACAAAAAAATATAGTAAACAACAAGACGCACATTCATACAGCGATATGCTGAACAACGACACAACACACATTATCAAACACTCATTCTCTCTATATTGTATAGCTGGAGCTAGGCAACGTATGTGTGACAGCTATTGCGTATTAATAGCGACGGAATGAACTACGCAGTCATTGAACCACCTGTTTGTGACCAATTTCGAAAATGGATGTAAAAACCAATCGAAAAGCACGCGATTCAAATCATTTCAAACTAATCACAGAATACTCTATTTAATAAAACAATTGGCAATAAATGAACACGTTGACAGCATGGGAAAAAGAACAAACTGCACCGGTGCTTTTGCCTCGAAGAAAAAAAAACAATTGCCGGTAGTATAAATAACAGGAAAAATCACTTACTCTGGTTTATCGCGATTTTTGTTTACTACTACTTGTCGCTTTATTTTATCTTTATCGCTCAATTAAACTAATAAAATACAATTGAAAAGTGAAAATTGGTTTGTTCGTTTGTGAACCACGTGGTTTTACAGTCGTTCCTTGAATAAACCGTATTTATCAGGTCAGTCGTCAATGAACAACTGAAAAGAGTATCATGTAGTTTCTATCATATATAGCCTTAAATTCGTCAGTTTGCCATGCTGCACACACAAGCAAACACGAATCCCGTCTCTGTGTATTGCTCACTTCGTCTCTCACACGCGCTATGCCGCTTAAGATTTCGTACTGATATCTGTGTGACAGTGTGTGCAAATCAAAACATACCGTGCCCGCCGCCGGTTTGTAATAAAAAAACAAACAGAACTGGTTCTGTAGATGTGTGATGCTGATTGCTGTGGTGAGAACGACAGATGTATGAGAATATAGAACATGTAGCGCGATAAGCCGATATTTAAATGAATATTCTACTCCTATCCTTCTCTCATACACACGCAATGTGAACGACTTCTTCATTTGTTTCGTTTGTTTGTGATTCCTTCGCACATTGTTACACAAATGTAGACCGGCTGTGTGAAAATGCTGCGTTCGCACATCATTCTGGTTGACAACCTTATGGCTTCGACTAGAACGCTGGCAAATTCGTATAACCTGTTATCAATTTTAAATTTCATTTGTAAACAAATTAATCTCACCAATTCGTTGTCCATTTTTTTATGCAGCCGAGTGTCGTTTTGGTTCGATGAATTCAAATAAAAGACTCATTTTTCAATTATCGCTTCTTTTTTTTAAAAATAAAATCTCTTTATTAAAATTAAAAGAAAAAAATGCTTCTCGATTAGATTCTAAATATAACTTTGTGTAAAATGTCGTCATTCGATTGTAAGCTGGACAAATACATCTAATTTCCAATTATATTGCTAAACATAACCAATTTGTTCGCTTCTTATCGACTATTTGAGAATGCCGTCTTTTGATTTGTGTGCGTTTTAACGTGTTTGCCGCGATCGCTTGAACAAGAGAATGCTTTGCCACAATATTGACATTGAAATGGTTTTTCTCCTAAATGATTACGCATATGAATGCGATAGCTATTCGAGAATGTAAACTGTTTTTGACACATTTCACATTGATAGGGCTTCTCGCCCGTATGAATTCGCATGTGCTTTTTACAATCGCTGTGCGTGATGAAACATTTTTCGCAGTAGTCACATTTAAATGGTTTAATTCCCGAATGGATTTTCATGTGATTGCTCAACAATCGCTTGCCTCCGAATGTTTTATGACACACTGAACAGGCTTGTGGCTTATCCTCTATCTCCGGTTTATATTCTTCGTGTTGCATTCTCCTGTGACGTTTCAATTGTGATGTCGATGTAAATCGAGTGTTGCATTCGCCGCATTTATACGGTCGTTCTCCAGTATGGAGACGAAGATGTGTAACGAGTAGATGATTGTAAATGAATGCTTTATCACATTCGGGGCATTTAAACTTTGGAACCATCGTGTGAGTTTTTTCATGAATTCGCAAATGCGTGTGATGCGTAAATGCCCGGGGACAATGGCTATGGCTACATTTGAACCTTTTATTGCTATTATGCACTTTCATATGGGACATGCATTGCGATTTTCGACGGAATTTTCGTTGACATTGATCGCATTCAAAGGGTTTTTCACCAGTATGCACACGTTTGTGCAAGGTCAAATTGATTGATTGCACAAATGATTTATCGCATTGATCACATTTAAACGGTCTATCGTTCATGTGCACTCGCATATGCGCCTGATAGTTGCTCGACTGTGATAATAAAAAAAAATATGAATGAAACTTAAAATTGTTGATGTTGAAACTTACTAGATCTTTCATTTTTCGACTATACCTGTGCGAATGCTTTGCCACAGAAACACTTGAATGGCCGTTCTCCACTGTGCACTTTCAAATGCTTCTTGTAATTGCCACTATGATTAAATAATTTGCCGCATATTGAACACTGGAACGATTTCTCATCGGAATGCACCAATTTCATGTGAGACTTTAAATGTTGATTCAATACAAATGTTCGGCCACACTCGGCGCAACTAAATGGCCGTTCGCCCGTGTGAAGAACCATATGTTTCCGTAAATTGCCGGAATGATGGAAAACTTTGCTGCAAATATCACATGTTCGCTCAAAGCTCGGCTTTCGTACGACACCATCGATCACTTCACCTTTGTGCACTGTGTTAATATGTTGTTTACAATGATCGGCTCGAGCAAACGATTTTTCACACACTGGACAATTGTGACCTTTGTCTATCATGTGTGTTCGAGTGTGTAGCTTCAATAAACTTGCGTACGCATAGCTTTTGCCACAAAATTTACATTTGTGTTCCTCTTGTGATTTAGGCCGACCTTTCTTTTTACCGCTCCCCTTTGTTGGATCAGTCGTTTTCTTTAGTGATTTCTTTTCATTAACTTCGGATGGTCTCTTATCTTTTGTCGTCTCTTTTTCTTTCACTTTTGCTTTTTTCTTTACATTGGCTTCTGGTTCAACGTCGGTTTCAATATTGACTTTCTCCTCATCCTTGACGTCATCGTTATTTTTGATAACGACTGCCGACGACCAATCTGTGCCAAAGTCTTCTGTACTACTTTTAACATTTAATGCTTTAAATTCCGTTTTGGACGATAGCGGTGCTAATGGTTCATCTTCATAATCGTACGAAATATCCTCATCTCGGTCGAATGTGTCGTATCCATAGTCATCATTATGATCAGAATCCTCGTCAGGTCTATCCTCTTTGATTTGAACTACGGTCACTTCATTCACGTTAAAGTCCTCGAAGCACGGTTCAACATACTCCACTTTCACCGGCAAAAGACATTGGCTATCAGCAAATGGATCGCAAGCTAACTCGACATCATCATTGTTGTGACACGCCACAAACTCTGGTTGGCATTTCTCTTTTGCTATTTGGCAGTTTTTATCCATTTCTTTGTGAGCTGAAAATGCAATGAAAATATTTCTACTAAATTAAATCAATTGATGCACGAAAACAATAGCCATTTTCTTACTATTTCTATTTTGATTTTTTATTTAGAGATCATAATAAGGGAAAAAAATACATGTTAAACAAAACACTAGGTTGACGTAAAAAGTGAAACGTCAAGAGAAAGTATTGATAGTGTCATTTTTATTCACCACCAGTGTTAAGGTGGTTCACATTTCTATTGCTTGAGATTTCGATTGAGAACAAAATCATCTGTATCTGAGTCGAACAATCCATCTATTTGAAATATTAGTTTTTTTTTCGTTGATTAGTTTTTTGTTTGAACAATAATTTAATAATAAAAAAAATGAATTGGAACTATTTTACACCAGTCAATTCATTTGAAGCAAAAAAAGAAGAGTTTTACTCATTTTTATCAAAGTGAATGTATCACCGTCGTTTGAACATTCAAACCATTATTTGTCGAATCAAAGTCAAATGAGTCGTTAGACACTGTGAATTGTAGCCAACTTTACTCAGCTGTATCGTTGACAGTTGTCAAGTGAAACAAAAGTCCATCGCAACATTAACAACAAAGTCGCTAACAGTGGAAAGGTGTAGAAATAATTTGCCGCATCGAAATGGGTGATTTTGTTCAAATAAACGTATCAAACAATCAAAATGACGTGATTAGCTTTGAGAAAAAGTTCCCGAGGGACATGAAAATTGCCGAATTAAAGGTAACTTTTGAAATAGGCAAACATTTGTTTTGGTTGCTACGTTTTTTTTTTTGGTTCGGCTTCATTGTGACTCATCAATGCCTTTTAATGGAATTGACCAATTTAGATCGACATGAAATCATCTTGACAGAATTTCCAACTGATTATTAATTTTTTTTTAAAGCTCAAATTGGAAATTATAACGGGAGCCGGTGCTGGCACAATGCAATTGCAGTTATTCAATGGTGATACGTTGATAACACAGTTGAACGATGATGAAAAAGAGCTCGGTTCGTATCCCATTGAGAATAACATGCGAATTCACGTTGTGGACAATTTCCAACGTTTTATTGGCGATGAAAGTGTCGAAAAATTTGATTTAACCGACAATCAATACGAACAGCGTCGCAACACCGTACGAGATTATCTCAAATCAAATCGATTGGGTAAATACAACGAGGAAGAAATGAAAGCCATTAAAGAGCGAAGAAAGGAAGAGGAACTCGAGCAAGAGAAGAAAGCTGCTTCGATTAACATTGGCGACCGATGTTTGGTTACAGCAAAGGGACCTCGTCGTCTTGGTACGGTCAGATACAAAGGTGCATTCCATATGAAACCGGGCATTTTTATTGGTGTTGAATACGACGAACCGCTCGGAATGCATAATGGAACTGTTGATGACAACAAGTATTTCGAATGTCAAATGAAATATGGGAGTATGGTACCCATTGCAGCTGTTGAAGTCGGCGATTTCCCACGAGAAAACGACGGACTCGACGACGACGAGGAAATCTAAATGCACAACTTTGAGCTTTGAATGTGATTTTGAAACAAATGAGCAAAACTAATTGGGTTTTTCTTTACTCTTTTCTTTAATTATGAATTCTTTCTTAAAATTTGCTACAAATAAATTTTTTTTCACCTTATTCTAAACTATTTTTAGTGTTCTTTCGTGTACTTTTATATGTTTGGCACGGTCGCTTGAAGAAGAAAATGCTCTGTCACAGTATTGACATTGGAATGGTTTATCTCCTGCATGATTTCGCATATGGATGCGATAGCTATTCGAGAATGTAAATTGTTTTTGGCAAATTTCACATTGAAACGGCTTTTCTCCTGTGTGCACACGCATGTGCTTCTTGCATTCAAATTTGGCGATGAAACATTTTTCGCAGTAATCACACTTGAATGGTTTGATGCCCGAGTGGATTTTCATGTGAGTGGCCAGTAAATGTTTGTTGCCAAATATCTTGTGACATTCAGGACAGGTTTTTATCAGTTCTTCCGGCTTTTCATCCTTATTTTCCGTATCTTCTTCGTGTTGTTTTTTCACATGTCGCTTTAGCATTGTTGTCGATGTGAATCGAGCGCCGCATTTATCGCACTGATATGGTCGTTCGCCAGTATGTATTCGGCGATGTTCAACGAGCTGATGATTGAAAGTGAATGTTTTTTCACAGTCAGTACATTTAAATTGTTGCACCACGTTGTCATCCTTTTGATGAACTCGCTTGTGTTTTGTTAAGTTGATCGCTTGTACAAATGATTTATCGCATTCATCACATTTATGCGGTCTAACGTTCAAGTGCACTCGCATGTGCACCTGGTAATTGCTCGACTGTGCGAATTGTTTTTGGCAAATTTCACATTGATAGGGCTTCTCGCCCGTATGAATTCGCATGTGCTTCTGATAGTTGGATTTCTGTTTGAACAGTTTTCCACAAAGTGAACATTGATACGATTTTTCGTCCGAGTGAATTTTCATGTGTGACTTTAGATGCTGGTGCCATGCAAATGTTTTGCCACATTCGGTACAACTGAACGGTCGTTCACCACTGTGAAGGATCATATGCTTTCGAAAACTGCTGGAATGATGGAAAACTTTACTACAAATCTCACACATTTGCTCGTAGGTTGGCTTTCGCAAGACACCATCGACCACTTCGCCTTTGTGTGCACTGTTGATATGATGCTCGCGATAATCCGCGCGGGAAAACGATTTTCCACATACTGGACAAGTGTGGCCTTTGTCAGCTACATGAGTTGTTGTGTGCCTCTTTAATTCCTTGGCGTATACGAAGCATTTGTCACAAAACTGACACTTGTGCTCTTTTTTTGGCTTAACCTTCTTCCCACCGGTCGACTTTGGTTTTGCATTTTTCTTCTGTATTTTTTGTCTTCTCTGTCCCCTTGCAGTTTTCGCTGGTTTCTTGTCTTTTGTTGTCTCTTTCACTTTTATTGTTTTCTTTGCATTCGCTTCAGGTTCAATATTGGGCTTGCATTCCCTTATGGACGATGACGAACTATTCAACCTATCGCCAATTTTCGACGTGCACTTTGCTTCCAATCGTTCTGAGGCATTGTCTAATTCGATCAATTCGATTTTTGGAATTGATATAAGTTCATCGAAATTATCGTTTCCAAAATTATCATAATCGGACTCCACTTCTCGTTCACCTTTGATATCACCAACTATTAATTCGTTTTTCTCGTCATTTCCAAAGTAAGAATCCACATACTCTTGTTTGACTTGCGGAAAGTCTTGACTATCGGCAAATGGATCGAAGGCCTCCTCTACATCATCTTTATTATGACAAATTAGAAACTCTGGTTCTTTATTCATTTTCAATCGTTTCTTAATCGCTTTGTTAGTATTTTAAAAAGATCCAATTCCGAGATCAAACGAGGAACGTATCTAAACAATAACAAGTTGACATGCGGATTAAAACGTCAAACCTGTCATATCATTGATGGAACAGCATGAAGTTGGTTTTTCTTTCATATCGTAGTTTATTTGAATTTCCAATGTAAACAATATATCTGTTTGAATAAACAAAATACCGACGAAAAATATCGATTTTATTTATTCTGATTTCAGCTTTTTATACATACAAGAAAGTCAGAATATTCTGTTTGTTGTGCAGTTTAAGATGTTTGTTACGGTCGCTTGAGCAATAAAATCCTTTGTCACATAATGAGCACTGAAATGGTTTTCCAACTGAATGGCTGGCAGTCATATGAAAATGAAAGCCATTGGAGAATGCGAATTGTTTTTGGCAAATTTCACATTGATAGGGCTTCTCGCCCGTATGAATTCGCATGTGCTTCTTGCAATCGCTTTGTGAGACGAAACATTTTTCGCAGTAGTCACATTTAAATGGTTTGATTCCCGAATGGATTTTCATGTGTCTGGTCAGACATACCTTGTTGCTAAATGTGTTGAAACACTCAGGGCAGGTCGGTGGCTCCTTTTCCGTATTCGAGACTTTAGTTGAAGACGTTTCTGGTTTGGGCGTATGACGTTTCTCGTGCTTGGTCTTGGTGTGTCGCTTAAGTTGTGCTGTGGATGTGAATCGATTGTTGCATTCATTGCACTGATATGGTCGTTCGCCAGTATGTATTCGACGATGTTCAACGAGCTGATGATTGAAAGTGAATGTTTTTTCACAGTCAGTACATTTAAATTGTTGCACCACGTTGTCATCCTTTTGATGAACTCGCTTGTGTTTCGTTAAGGTGATCGCTTGTACAAATGATTTATCACAATTTTCACATTTATGCGGCTTGTCGTTCATGTGCATTCGCATGTGCACCTGGTAATTGCTCGACTGTGCGAATTGTTTTTGGCAAATTTCACATTGATAGGGCTTCTCGCCCGTATGAATTCGCATGTGCTTCTTGTAATTGCCACTATGATTAAATAATTTGCCGCATATTGAACACTGGAACGATTTCTCATCGGAATGCACCAATTTCATGTGTGACTTTAGATGCTGGTTCCATGCAAATGTTTTGCCACATTCGGTACAACTGAACGGTCGTTCACCACTGTGAAGGATCATATGTTTCCGTAAATTGCCGTAATGATGGAAAACTTTACTACAAATCTCACACATTTGCTCGTAGGTTGGCTTTCGGACGACACCATCGACCACTTCTCCTTTGTGTGCACTGTTGATATGATGCTCGCGATAATCCGCGCGGGAAAACGATTTTCCACATACTGGACAAGTGTGACCTTTGCCGACATGAGTTTCTGCGTGCTGCTTCAATTCGTTGGCGTTTACGAAACATTTGTCACCAAGTTCACATTTGTGCTTTTCTTTTGGCTGAATTTTCTCGTTACCAGCAAGGTTTGGTGCCGTTTTTACCTTCGTTGGTTTTGGTGCCTCAGTTAAATCCATTTTTAGTCTTTATTCTTTACTTTCAATAGTTTTTAGTCTTTTATTTCAGATACGAACTAGCACACTGACTGTACTGTATGAAAAAGAGGTTACGTATGGCAACTACACGCGAGAAACAGTTGACAGTGTCTCAAATCGAACTGTCCGCGTGCATTCAAACGCTAACGACAGAGACGAAAAATGACAAAAAAAATCGTGTCTGTGCATGTATTTCGGCTATGTTGATCCTTGTCATTCTTCTTTTTTTCGACTGAACGAAAATGCGCACGAAAAGCAACGGCATTCAGTGCACACAAACTCAGTTTGAAGACATCTCATATAAACGCTGTGAAACGGTCATTGAATTGACCGTCAATGTGTGCGATTGTCTATTACTGTTCTTATTTCTCCGACGTCTCCTTTATGATGATTGCGAAAGATGATGAAATATTTATTAACAACAAATCGTGTTGAATATAGAATATTTTAATGTCACTATTTTGATTCCAGTTATTGCTCCTTGTTCAATATTACTCAAATGGCATTAATGCAATATGTTGAATGGATTTGAGCGTGAAAGAAAATTTGAATTGCACTTCGTAAAACAATCAAATCGTTTTCCATGAAATATTCATCGCATGTCTCAATCTAATCCACTTTCATTCTATATTCAGTGTTTTTTTTGCTAAATCGATTCATTGACTCAGAATTAAGTCACTCAAATTGTTTCTACTTTATACTTTTTGCAATTTTTCTTTAACTAGACGCTTTACTTTTGTATTTTTAAAATAAAAAACTTCGTCATTTTTTCCACAAATAACTTCATTTCTGAAGGAAGAATAAAAGTTTTAAAATTAGCTCTAGCTCGCATGGCCATGAAAAACCAACTGTTAAAGCCTCTATGGAATACTTCTTAATATTTGAAGAAATTTTATTTCATATTTTCTACCGTCGTAAAAGTGTTTGTGTGTTTTTTTAGATAAATGGTAAAAATGTTGAAAATGTATAGTGCCATAAAAAATCCAGCTACCTAACATGCAGCATTAAGTTCAAGCAGAGCCATAGGATTGCTGGAAATTCCAACAATAAGGAACATTAATAGAAAAAAATCAAACATACGTTTACCGTTGGCTCAGCATCTCAGCATTTTGTATCTGCGTATATATCCGAGCATATCGACGACGCAAGTCACTGTATAAGTGGCTTGCGTTGATGTGCACAGCTACATTGACTACACACAAACACTGCGCTCTCTGTTTGTGTGTAAAACTCTCTGTTTGTGTGTAGTCGATGTAGCTATGCACATCAATGCACGCCACTTATACAGTAACTTGCGTCGTCGATATGCTCAGATATATCCGCAGATACGAAATGCTGAAATGCTGAGCCATCGGTAAACGTATGTTTGAAAAAAATAGATCGTAAAACCAGAAAAAAATGTTTTTACGAACGTATGCAAATATTGAGTAATTAAAATTGCCTGGAAATGGTAGAGAAATAGCTAAATACATCTATGGAGATGAGCAAAAATATCTGTGGCAATAAAATTCAGTCTGTTTCTTCTTTCTCTTGCAAATTCTATTGTTTCACAATAGAATAATCTAAACTTTTGGAACAAAAACAAACATTTTGTATCTTTGGGAATATGCACGCCATTGACTCTTACACTGCAAAGAACTTACCTCTTACCTCTACAGATTTAATCTCTGTCAGATTACCGTGAAGAAAATTTCCTTTTATTAAAAACGATCTTCGAACGGAACACCTTTATACCATTTCGAATGAAACACATCCAATTTTCAAAACAATCATATATAATTTGCGTCTTTATTTAAACATTTCAAAGAATAAAAAACAATAAAAGCATATTTGAAAACAAAACAATTGAACGAAAGTGCTCAATAAAGACTATCTGGTCGCTTTTCGAACCAAGCCTTAATTGATTCAACATTGGAAACGTTGCTGACTACGTTTTGCAAATTTGGACGGTCGGCAATCACATTGAAGCCGGCGACCATGTTGAAGAAATCCAAATGAGCAACGAAGAAAATATCAGCCCAAGTCAACTACAAACATAAAATGTTGTTTACTCATCTATTAAAAAAATTAAAACATTTTACCTTTCCAAGAGCCAAATGGCCATTGTTTTCTTTGGCGAAGCTTTCGAATTTGTCCAAATAGAATGGAAGGATTTCGTCCTTAACAGCAGCCAACTTTATGGCTTTTATGGCGTCATCTTTTTCATAATGAGCAGCGACCAATTCTGCAAAATATCAAAGAGAGTATTATTATTATGAAATTTGAGAAACAGACAAGAAAATTTCAAAAGAGCTACGTACTCGAGTCGAATTCGTTGAGATTATCAACGGCGATATCGATCAGAAGACTTTCCCAATCATCGGCACCAGCCAAACCGACGTGTTTAGCGAGATAACGGGTAATTGAAGTGCTTTGATAGACACGTGTACCGTCGACTTCAAGTACAGGTATTTGCCCAAATGGCATCGCTAAAAATGGAAACAATAAGAGATAACAATGCAATTGACATTCGATAACCTTGCACATTTAGAAAAAAAACATACTTGGTTTGATTGCAGGCCATTCTTCTTGAGTGATGCGAATGTCCTCGTATTCGATACCACCATAGGCTAACAAGATACGGATTTGCTCACCCAAACCCCTAATATCGAAATAATACAGTTTGTACGTTGGTTGCGACATTTCACGATTCAAACTAAAATACGAAGAAAAAAACGAAATCATGAAAATCGATGACACCAAAGCTGGTATTACCAATTTGGTAATGAATTCCAAAGAAATTGTTCTCATTTTGATGTTGAAAATTGATCAAAATTGTTTTAGTCGCTCTTCAGCTTCACTATCAAATAGATAACAAGAAAGAATACATATATATATAATGAGATTGGCGCGTAAGTCATAAAATATTTAAATTAGTGCACGTGATAACTTCACAAATTGTCTACTGAATGAAATAAACAATGATAGCAAGCAATTCAGCTTCAAGAATATTTCACAAAGGAAAAAAATTGCAAAAATGAAACAGAACAATCTATCGAATCTATCAAATCAATATTTCTTACAATTTTTGTCAAAGCTATTCAAATCCACCGACTCAGATGAACGAAGGAATGTAAATAAAACAATTTTGACAGGACATGTGGAATATATAGTGGAATGAAATGTCATTTTATATTCACCAACCCGTGTGAAGTTGGATCCTGATCTATTTTTTTTCATTTATCAAACTCCGGGTGAAAACAAAGCCTTATGTCGTATTCAGTCAACAAAATATGCCGGCAATTTAATCAATTATTTATTCACGAAACAACTACATCTATGGCAAAATTTTAATGCGAACGCGTTGAATGTCTCATATTGTGCTTGATTACACGGCGACGTGATACTTTATCCGCTTTCCGTCTTCTGGCGTATATTTCACACGGTCTCCTTTTTCATTTCGTCGTTCAAAATAGAAATCAATGTTTTCTTTGGTGTGATTCGCATTGCAGTGCTGCGAAGAGATACGATTAAATATTGATATAAGTGGAATTAAGTTGCATATAAACATGGAATGTGTGAATAAAATTTGCATTATTTGATGCTTTTTTAAAAGATGAGCTTATATTGATTCAAGGTGTGACTTACAAAGTGTCTCTTTGTTGCAATGTCGCTTTTAATTCTTGATACTCCTTCAAAGCTTGATCATGTTTTGCTTTCAAGTCATTCCAATCAACCCGTTCACCACATGTACAAATTTTGCTTCGAATTCGGGCAAATAATGGCTCTTCTTGGTAAAACTCAGCGATCTGTTGTTGATTAGTCTCTCCAGCTACATCTCCCGTTATACCAATTTAAGAAAATGCTCGCTTTTAAATTGTTGAGTATTGTACTGTGAATTTTATTACCTGTCGAACAACCTGTGTACCATCTATCATATAAATCCATAGAAATACCACCGCTGCATACAGATTTTTTTATCTGCAATTGTTTTAAATAGGTAAATGTAACGCCCTTTCATGTAAATCGAAATTGCATGATACATACGAAACCTTTGTAGACTCTTTTGGTCCGTTCCATTGTAAATGAAACACCATTGTCGTCAAATTTACGGAGCATTAGATTTCGGTTGAGTAGCTCTTGAGTTCTGGAATATTTTTTTTTCATTTTTTTCTTCTGTAAAATAGTTCTTAATTTTGAAATTCAGTCTCATCTTACTCGCTCAACCCAGCTATCGTCATAGTATCCACAAACAGATTTGGATCGACTTGTTGTTTGGATTCATTGTGCCAAAGGCAGCAAATAATTGCATGTGAGTTTCTGTCGTATTCACGATGAACGACAAACTTGATGCTTCCATATTAATTGACACCAAATGCACAAATTCATTCAGTCCAGATTTGTCTCTCATTTAAATAGGCCTTAGCGACCATCTGTCATCGCTCATACTAACAAGTCTCAGGGTTATCACTAGAATGTCCTCCGTATACCGTCTAACATACGCTCAAGAGTTTTGATTATTATTGTGCATCGCATTTTTCAATAAAGTGTCCCTCTATTATAATGGTTTTGCTGAACATGCAAAAGTGATAGCTTAATCAAAGAATATGAGCAAAGAAATGTTTGCTGAAAAAACGTCAAGGAAAGAAAAAACAAAACAACTTCAAGCGGTGAGACTTTATCTTTATTTGTTTGAACTACGAGTAAAAACAAAATCATACGGTTCAGTCAACAAAATATACCGTCGATTAATCAATTATTTAAGAAGCAACTACACTTATGACTACAAATTGCGGCAAATAAATTGAGTGTACACTTGACTAAGTAGCGATGTGATAATTTATCCACTTTCCGTCTTCTAGCGTATATTTTACGCGATCAGCTATCTCATGGCGTCGTGCATGGTAGAAGTCGAATTTTTGTGGTATGATTCGCATTGCAGTGCTACAGAGAGGGACGATTAAATATTGATGTAAATGGAATTGGGTTTTTAAGTAAAAATGGAGAGTGTGAATAAATTTGCAATTTTTGAAGATTTTATCAGATTATTCCCTGCTGACACAGTTTGACTTACTAAGTGTCTCTTTGCGGTAGTGTATCTTTTCCATCCTGATAGTCTTTCAACGTCAGATCATGTTTTGCTTTCAAGTCATTCCAATCGACCGGTTCACCGCATCGGCATATTTTACTGCGAATTCTCGCAAACAACGGTTCTTCCTTATAAAACTCAGCAATTTCCAATTCACTCAACTCAGCCACCTTTCCTAACACACGTACCTAGAATAGAAAAGTCGTCATTTTTCAAACAGAAATCGCAAATAAAGAATATTTGATTAAAATGAACATTCTTTATCAAATTATGAGTTGAAAATTGTGTGTCAACAACTTGTCAACAGATGGGCTATTTAAATATTACGTTATAAACATAACTCATACCTGCCTAGTGACAGCAGTGCCGTTTATCATATAGATCCACAAGAAAACGGCTGCAACACTTGGATTTTTTACCTGTAAACGAAAAAAAAACCACATAGATTAAAAATTATGAAAACGAAGAAGTTTTGCGTAAAATCTAAATGATGTATACAAAGTGTTACTTACAAAGTCCTTGAATTTCATGGTATTTCGTTCCGTTACAAAGATCAGTCCATTATCGTCATGCTTTCGAAGAATCACATTTCGGTTGAGTAAATCGTCGGTGCTGAATGAATAGGAAAAAAAAATACGAATTAATGTTAATGAGTTGCAGTGTTCAAGCCACACTGAAATTCTTTTTATTTCTTTGCTTTGTTTGTGAATAAATTTGGTTAACAACAAAGAAAAAAAAAACGTTTTTTTTTAAATTTCATACAAAGGGATCAAAACAAAGCACTTACTCGCTGAGTCCGGCAATAGTCATTGTGTCCAAAAATAAATTCGGATCACTGTGTTCATTGGCTTCGTTGTGCCAGTTTGCGAAAATCTGCATGGGATTTTCCGGTACATTTGTAATGAATGACAAACCTGATGTTTCCATTTTTCTCTCTTCGCTGCGTACACAAATATGGTCAGTGTTTGACTTTTGTCTCTGGTTTAAATACACACAACTGGTGCTATCACCTATTATTTAATGATGTTGATAAGTAAATCGAAACAAATGTTTGTACGTATTGTCAACGTACAGCATTTCGAAGCCAAAAACAAAAGCCAAAGCCAAGAATTATGTAAATGAATTCACGGAAAAGAGCATTCACGCTATTGAGTTGATTGTATTCTGGATGTGAGTGTGTGTGTCCTAACAAAATAGTTCATGCAAAGACGAAGAACTAAACGAAAATGGAATTGCAAAGACACACCTGAAGAGAATATATATATGCCTAGAAGAAGTAGCGAATGTGCAAAACAGCAGAAAAAAAAACAGCAACAACTACAACTCAACAAACGAATGATAAAAATCTAAAAATGCCAGCGGCAAGGCGAATTCAATGAAGTGCGAATCTATTTTTGGGCTTTGTTTTATGCCACAGCAACAGCGACAACAGCAGCAATGCTGTAATTAGACATTTCGTAAATCTGTGAATTGAATTAAAAGAATTACGTGTTAGTCCTTCAAAAGCACGGTAAATTAACGCAATTGTTAGCCAACATAAACTTACCCTTCTTGACATACACGACAACAAAAAAAATGCCGATTTGCTTCACACACAATGAGACAGGAACGAAAGAGAGAATGAACAAGCACACACAGACACACGCACTCATACATGCACACATCGAAGTGAAGCCGCTCGAACAACACATCGAAGAATATCGACACAGAAGCGAATAGTAATAACACAGACGTAATAAAAACCCAAACATACCAATACTAGCAATGTGCGCGTAATTTTTATGGTGTTGTTTGAGACACACAAAACGAGAGACTTTGGGCTCCAATGTCAGTACGGCGACTGAACAACGTTTAGTCGTACGTGCAACTAGTTTACATTCGGCACGGAAATTTCTATGAAGAGCTGGTTTGTTGGTGCTTGCAGTGAGGCCGCTGTGTAAAAACATTACTATTTGAACGAATGTGTGTTGCGCACATTCTGAATGGACCTAAATTCGTTGTTTGCTGTACATATGGTGTAAATCAAGTGTCGTATAAGAGTCATTGTTGTTGAATTTCATAAATATTTCTTTTTGACTAGTTTATAAATAATGTGTGTGTGTGTGATCTGCTTGAGTCAATAAAAAAGGAATCCGTTGCCAATTTATTTTTAAAAAAAAAGAGGAAGAATAAAATAAAAGAAGAATTTGTGTGGGGAAATCCAAAAATTGTTGAAACGTGCTTGTGTTTCTGCTTCGACAAAAATCCACATACACAAAAACCGAAATGCGGCGACTGTATCAAATGTTTGTTTGTTTTCTATCTGCCACCCGAAAGTAGTGAGTCAATTAATAATTTGTTCGAGGCAACAAAAAGGAAACGGGAAGTAGTGATGTGAAATTAGTGTGAGAAAGAGATGTCGATACGAAAAATAAAGCGTCGACAAAATGGAACCAAATACAATTGCCGAATTTGGAAATAACGACGATTCAGTTCGTATGAATGCCTTGTAATTGGAGTGTAAACGGTGTTTTGTAAATGATTTTGTGTTAAAATTTATTGTGAATCGAAAGCACATTTTGACCATACACACAACAATTAACGCCAACAATACGGAATTCCACACGAAACCAAATTCAAATGTGTAAAATTCAGCGGTAAACGCATAAGTCACACATTTCGTGTTTCTTTCATCGGTAAGTTGAATGCTATCTGTTGTTCTGGCTATAGACAATATAAAAAAAGCACGGCAAAATATGTTACACCAAAAAAAAGTCGGAAGAGAGAAACAAAACCCATAAGCAATCATAATAACCAGTGAATAAATGTGTGTGTATGTTGGAATGAACAAGAAAATGTGCAGTCTGCTTCTTTTTCTTTGCTGGTTTTCGTTAAACGAAAGTCATTCATCAGTTTTATTCTCCACTTCTGTCGGTTGGTTGTTCGATGCACACAGCACACAGCCGTCGTTTCAGCGTGTGTACAACACAACACACATATATTTGAATTTGTAGCCGTTTTTATAAGTGGCAATGAAACACCGCATCTGCATGTGTGTGCAATTGCTATAGTTACGTCGCCTCTATCTTTGTTTACGTGCGTATACTACCTATCTGTCGCTCATTCTCTTGCTCTATCTCTCTCTGCTTTGAGTTTGTGTGTTTTTGTTCGGGTTTTCACATCTTTCGTACCGAAAATAAGAAACCAAACGAAAAAAAAGAAGAAGAATGCATTCAGGGATCTCAGCAAAGTAATAAATCTACCTTGTGCAATATGTATGAGACTGTATGCATAGCATGCATGCATGCATTCTGGTTTTTTTTCGTGTGCGCTACACACCGAAACGAAATTCTTCTGCCTGTTTTGAGATTTTGGTTTTTTTTTTATTGTCGATGATTTTTGTACGTGCCTTTTCCGGATTTTTGAGCTCGCTTATGTTGATTTTCTCTTCGTCTCCATTCTCTCGTATCGTTGATGGGTTTTGTTATATATGTATGTTGATTGCGCGCATTAAAGCATTTTTTTTTCATGCGGTCGGAACTAGAGAGTATGTTATAGCTCAATGGTTCTGTCAATAAACATTTTTCGATCGGAAACAAAAGACGACGACAAATTTTTTTTTTCGTTGTTGTTGTTGTTTTACATTTTATCAAAATGAGTTCAGCAGAGCGGGGTGCTCGAGTGGGAAAAGGTCGCTATTTAAATATGGCATTTTTCTTTTGAAATTAAGCGAATTTTTTTCTCTCGGTAATAAAGCGAAGTGCCTGGTTGAAATGTATGCGTTATTTTTGAATAAAAGTATTTTTTTTTTTCTCAAACGATTATGATATTGACATGATATAATAGCAACATGCAGACTCATGCACGGCGCAGATTGACGGATGAAAGCCCTCGAGTTAACAACAAAAAGGGAGAACGCTGCTGTTGTTTTTCACCATTTGCATCGCGGTTTTTTTTTTGTTTCTCTCTTCTCGTTCAGTCAACAACAAATCGTTCAATGTTCCCGAATGCAGCAATTTCTCATTCTTCCATTGAAATTGCGCAAAGATTCAATTAAATCCAACGTATGTTGAGCTTTGTGATGTACTTATATGGTCGGTTGTACGCCGTGATAGTATTTCTCGTGTTTGCATGAAGAGATTCAATTGAAAAAGAATATATCAGCGAAATGAAAAGACACAATCAATTCATGTTTCAATAAATTCTCGTTTGTACGCGCTCACTCTCCTTTCCTCTATCTCTCTTTGTCTATAGCTGACTTCATCTCCGTGTACCGACGGCTTCGTCGTCGTCGTCGCCGTCGTTGCGATCATTTCGTATATGGGCAACATGTAAAATGTTCGGTATCTTGAATTGGTTGGCATAGAGAGTGTATTATCCAATCTATCTAGCAAGTGAGCAATTTAGTGTGCTTTTTTCTTCTCTCTTCTTTGAATTGAATTTATTGCGCACGATGAAGATATGCGAATTGAACAACATCGAGAATCGCAACGAAAAAAAAATATCGCATTCGACGAATCGATCGACTGAGTAGAAACGACAGGTACATGCGAAACACACGGGCCCCAAACATACACTCGCATGTTGAAGCCTGAATGGGCGAACTAAGAACTGTGCAGAGGAAAAGTACAAAATAACATTTTGTCGTCACTGTATGATCGGCACTCGATGGACGATGAACGAAAACAACAGCAACAACAAACATTAACCGAGCCAAAGCCATAGCCAGGCATTAATAACAGAATACACAGAGAAATATTATTCAGTTGGTTACGTTCACTGCTCACATTCACTAAGTACGATAGTAGTTTGTCCAATTTTCATGTTTCTCGCCAGCGAATTTTTGTCGGAATGTGTTTATGTGTTTGAGTGTTGACTTGTGTCTTACATTTTACTGTTCTCAACGAGGACAAGAAACAAACAAATAACAACGAGAGAACATTTTTTTTTGTGTCTCAAATGGGGCGGATATAAGTACCAGTACCAAAAATAACAATCAATTTTTGTTTCGTCTCTTTTGGCGTTGATCCTGCATGGTATATGTATCGCGTATCACATGATACATCTAGAAAAGAGAGTAAGAGCTATAACAACGTCGAAGGCAACAGCGATAAGTACCAATAAAGCAGTCACTTGAACTATAACAAAAATTCTATACATTCGTCGTCGCAACGCGATAAACATTTCTCTCTCTCTCTCTCTCTCTCTCTCTCTCTCTCTCTCTCATTCTCTCGTTATATCGTTCACCCAAATTGAGCTGCATTCGGGAAAAACGTATCGAATTGATAAAAATGTTTAGTCTGCCCTCGCATTCGGCGCATACATTGCATCGAGACAGTTTCGCCTGTGTCTCGTGAGTAAATTTCATTTTGTGCGGCGTGGCGTGGTGTGCTGTTTCCTTTTCGTCTGAGTGTCATTTCGAATTTATCGCTTAATTTAATCATTAGTTGTGAACGAATTTTGAGCCAGAGTGAGGCGTGTGCATTGCTCATTGAATTCCATGGACGTTTACTTTTTTTCGAATTGATTTTATGTGTGTGTGTGAGTGTGTTCAATAAGTCGATGCCCGTTCAATCGAATCCCCGTTTTAAATTGAACAAAAATCGTTTACGTTTTGTGTACATTTCTAATAACCATTCGGAGTCTAACGTTATCGTTTCGTTTGCGTTTCAACTGATATGATCGCCAAACGCGTTCAATTTTATCTCATAGACCCATAAAAATCGCTGTACATTGTACGAGGCTATGGGAAGAAATTAAGCGAACAAAACGGAGAAATGAAAAAACGAATAACAACAACAGCGTTCGCCGTAATAAAGACCTATTTATTTACAAAATTGCCTTCTTATTGAACCGTAGACTCAATATATGAATGATCAACAAAAACAGCCACTTCCGCTACTAATTAGCCGCATATTTTCCACATAAAAACTTATCGGTGGTCTACAAAATGAAACAAAATAAGCCTTTTTTCACATGACGGACTGTTTATAGCAAGTGAAAAAGTAAACGATTTTGTCAGTAAATAATCATTTTTCAGTGATTTTAATTTCATATGTTTATTTGGTGTGCGCGCGTATGTTATGCGAACAGTACGTCGTACAATCTCAATACTAGTTATTGTTTATTCGAAGAAGAAGAAAAAAAACACAGAGAAAAATTGTATGCTGACTTTGCTGATTCGTATTGTGAAGCAAGACAACGTGCGGTAATGTGAAGAATAATCGTGCATAAACATGCATATGCTATACGGAATGTCTCTCTGTAAAGAGCTTATATGTGAATAATTTGTTTTTTTTTCTGAGTGAAAATACACGCGACTCAACGAACAGAAGACATAGTATTAAGTTAGTTGTGATAATTGCAACAAAAAAAAATGGTGATTGTGAATGATGTGCTAAAGCGCTTATTAGGCATTAAATTGACAAGATAGCAATGAGAAATCAATGCTTGACCGCATAAATGAAACTGCTGTCCGCGGTCTTTGGTTTTCCATTTAATTTACGATGAAATCATCGGATTTTCTCTATCCATCAATAATCATCGACCATTTATTACTTAGAATGCTCTGAATTGAATTGCATAACTGTAATTTTCGAATTAATTCCAAGTGGACAAACTGTGTAATTTTCATTCGGTAAACAGCTTACTATTTGCGGTGTGTATCATTGAACTTAGTCGTCGTCGCCGTCGCCAATCCCTAATGGCATTACTTTGGATTCGGTGTTTGTGTCTGTCGAGAATGGGTTGGGATTAGTTGAAATGTTGACGGTCGTCCAGTTTTGTTTCACCTGAACAGCTGCTGCTCTGTGCAGCTCATTCGAATTCAATACAGATATTTCCATTGGATTTGACCACGAAACAAGTATCTATTTCAATCCATATTCTGTTTTCTCGTTCTCTGCAAGTTAATTACACAATAAAGTGTCATATTTCCAATGCTTTTGGTTATTCGTTCAATAACCAAACCTTGCCTTTCATACACCATACGACCATTACTGTAGTTTTTACGAATCCTTACACCAGATCGATTCATTGCAATCCGGAATACTATATGCTTCAGTCGTTGTCAACCTTTTGAGCTCTCGTATTCTTAGTTTGAGTGTGTTTTAGTCACAAGCGTCAGTCCCCCCATCATTACCGGTTTTTTTTTCGTTTCTCTCTGTCTCTTTCTCTCATTCAACATTAATGTTTTTTTTTCACCTCTTTCTCCAATTGTATTTCAGATTAAATTTCTAAAAGTGTCGTCGATAGAAGAGCTACCGTTTCGAAAATGCCATTTATCCAGCGCATTGTAGAACCGGTATTCTTATCACGGCCCACTCAACAATCAACAACAGCGGAACAGCAACCATCATCAACGGCAATAACGACAACAACAACAGTATCAAAAGCAACGACGACGACGGCGACCCACGATGATTTTACATCGATCGCAAACTGTACACTTGCCAATATACTGCGACAATTGGCATCGGTGGTTCTGGTTGCCGATAAAATTCTCAGCGATTTAGGAAATGAATTGCACACGATACGCGAACGAAGCAACAACATTCAAAAGCGCATCGTTGGCGTTGAAAAGAGTTTAGAAAATATCGACGAAACGATAATATGTAAGTTGAATGATTAAAGCGTACATTTTCCCTCACCCTCACATAATAGCAATGTTATGTAGTAAAAACTGAAAAAGTAATAAAAAATAAAATAAGAAAAGAAACGCTCGAAAACGGAGAGGAAAATACAAAAATAAACGCTGAAATGATTTATCGAATGAACGCTTCAATACCATATTGGTGATACTTGTTTTTCCTCTCCGATGGGATTGGATTTATTTCGATTTCTCTAACCACTTTTTTCCTCTTCTTCTTCTTCTTCTTCTTCTTCTTCTTCTTTTCACTTCACTTCGAAAACTCTACACAGATAAATTGAATAAAAAGAATTTTACAGACGACAATGATGTATCAATTTATAAAACGAAACGAACAATCAGCACGTCCCTATTCACTGCCTCGACACGACCGCAACATATACAAAAGCTATACGACCAAGCAGCACCAACACCGGTTCTACTCGTATGCAACGACGACACAAGCAGCGAAACAAACTTTTCCGTTTGTCCACTCGGCCGTACCCGGCGACAGATCACGAAAAAGATTGATGCAGATATCGAAACACGAGTCGTAAGTTAGCTTTGTTTATATTTATTCTCATTTTGATGTATGACCCAAATGTTCGGTCGTTTCAATCGAAACAATGCACCGTGTATATAATAATTAGTGTCAAAGAATTTCTTTTTTGAAGTGAACAATTTCCGCTTTTGGACTGGACGGAATTCACGAATCATTATTTTCTTCTGTCTAATTGCAGCCGGCTTCGATTGAAGAGCTCCGAAAATGGACGTCATCCGAAGCGATTGGAGAGATAACGGTTGCTCCCAATTGTTTGGCAAAAGTTGCAGCTAGCTCCCTGCATAATTCAACAATTGCCGAAGAATCGTATGCCAGTTTTTCTACATCGTATGTGGATGGAATTGATGTTACATCGACTAGTACAAATGACAATGTTGACGGTGTGAATGATATTGCATTGGATCACAAGCTACCGTCACCCGAAGAACAGTGTAAATTAATTGCAAAGAAATACCCGGCCGAAATCGTTTCCGTGAACACATCCAATGTACGGTTTGAGCGTATGTGCTCGATCCGCAAGTCATTGGGCCACATGCCAATGGGTAAAATGCGATATCTCGAAGAATTCCAAGCCACCCGCCGATCGTTGCGACCACGAAAAGCATCGGGAAAACGACGAAACACTATCGCCGGCATCGATGATAAAGACATCAAAGAAGCCTACACACAAATGTAAACCAATTTTTCTCTCTTTTTTCCCCTCGTTCATTTGCTTTTGTTTTATTTGTTTTGTTTTTTTCCTCCTTTTTTGTTCACATTTTACAAATATTTCTCTTCATTTCGCTGCAGGAGGCACAGTGCAGTTGTTGGCACATCATCAAGTGCTGACGATAAAAATAGCCAATCAATGCCACGCAGTAAATCAAATGATTTGCTAAGAAGCAACGGAACGATCGATAGCCTGCGGTCGTCGAATCGATTTTCTAACTTCAAAGCGCTGAAACAGTGGGGGAAACATCGATTGAAACTAATTAACAAAATCGATGAAATTGTCGAAGGTGAAGTGACACAAAATGGTGCCGTTCAAAATGATTGTCCAAAAAACTCAAAGCCACGGCCGAAGACAACGGCGGAAAAAAGTCTCAAACAAAACCCATTGTATTCCTCGTCGGAGAAACTGTTTACGAATTTAATGGAGAGTGATATTAAAGTATGTTCATCGCCAACGAATCCAGTGAAGCTGAGAACGTCAATGAATCGCCGACAGCGACGCAGCAAGCAGTACCGGTGTGAAGAGCCAAATTCGTCAAGCGGCAATTGGAGCGCGAGCTCTGAATCTGGTCGCACTTCGGCGAGTAGTGAGATTGCAATGCACAAAAAATCGAGTAATTCGTGTGGCTCGTTGCATCATAATAAACCACCGGTCACAAATTCGGCTGCACTAACGAAGCGAAGAATAAACACATCGACTTCGAGTAGTATAACGAGTGATGATACTACGAATCATGAAGTGCCAACGGGTTATGTCGATCTGTTTGACGACAATGAAAGTATGTACTCCTGCGATACAGAAGGCTATTTCACATCGTTCCACGTGGATTCTGGACTGAAGACTCTGAAAGAAGAGGAATCGAATATTGTTCCCGCTTTGCTGAGCACATCAGCTTTATTGCCCATCGACGGCAGCAATATATCAAGCAATATGGGTGATAGCTTAAGTCGAACCACCACCTCCGTAGATAGCAGTGATTATGAACTATTCGGAAAAGGATCCACATCAACGACGGCTAGCTCAGGCACCGTTTGCACAGCTTTACTCGGTTCACTGAGCAACAACAGTTTAGTCGAAGTCCCCATCGCTCCCGAACGGAAGTCATCGTTAAACTCCAAACTAATGAATATCAGTAACTATGGAAAACCAAAACTGTTAACTAATAAAAGCGAAAGCATTCCAAGAAGAGGCGTTGAAAAAGAGGCTACACAAATGCGCGAAGCGCTTACTAATCTCAATAATTTCAATAAAATTGACAAGAACGATTCGTCGAATGGTGCGGCAACGACGATATCAGACTTGGAAATATCGGAAAATTCCGATTTCGAAGGAGTGGAACGGGTGAAACGTATCAAAGGAAAGACGCAGATTAATTCGAATCGAATTCCATCGATTTGTATCATTACACCGTTGAACAGTGACGATGAGGATCGGGTTGCAGCCATGGAGTCGATGCTGTCAAGTTTGAATATTAATCAAAAAAACTTGCCATTAAGTGAATTGGGCGAAGAACGGACCGTTGCACAAATTCACAGCCCTCAATCATCTTCGAAACAGTTAAATTCGGTTCCTGAAAAGAAGAAAGAGAACGAAGACAACGTGGATAAGGAAAAGAATGATGAAATCGATGGTGAATATGTAACAATCACAGATGTTGGATCTTATGCCCACCCAAGCTCTTATAGAGTGAGTGACGTTGTAAGTAAAGATCTCGATCAAATATTATCCGGTAATTTGAATAAGAGGACCGAATACGTTTCGCTGAATGAATTGCCATGCAACACAAAATACGATGAAAATTTACTGGCCGATGCGAAAAATGTTCGATTGATCAGCGGCACCAATGTGAAACTAAATGCAAATGGCATGTTCGTATACGATTCCAGCACATTGAGATACAAACGCAGCCTGTGCACCACATTCAAAGGCTTGCCGACTGCGCAAACAACTGATACAACTGGTGATAGTAGCAAACATGTGACGTCAAAATTAGAAAATCAAGAAGTTGTGACTGAGGTTAAAAGGATGAGCTCGAATAGTTCACCTCCATTTGCAAAAATGGCTTCAGATTACGATTCTGCCAGTTTGGACGATGTTTATGTCACACTTGCGGCTGACAAACGTGAGCTCAACACTTCACCAAAATCAGTGGTTTCCGTTTCAGATTCGGGTAAGTTGAATGGAATGTCATTAATGATTTTTTTCGTCCGTTTCAAGTAGATGTATTAGACAGATTGTTTCATGCCAAAAAAAATGATTATTAATACCTTTTAATTCATCCACTTCCAGAATTAAGCGATACAAGCAGAGATGCAAAGTCGGACACTTGGCCTGGTGTTGCACAGAAAGAGGACAGTCTCAAAGAGATGAAGCGTCGTTTCTCTTGGGAAAACATAACGAAATCATCGAAACGAACATCGAAGCGTCGCCACCGTAAATTCATCTTACCACTTAATTTCAGTGCGAAAAAATCATCACCAAAGTCAAAGTCCACATTTAAAACATCGACGCCATTGAAGAATGCCTCAGAAAAGCCGATTTCATCCAAATCGAATGTGAATGAAAACAGTTTCGGCAATAATACATCGATATCGCAAGTTACGTTCAATAAACCACAGACAACTACATGCAGCGATCGACTGGGAGTTCCGAAAACCACTCTAAATGATTTTAAGAAGCTTCTGCTGAACGCTACAAACAAAAAGATATCAACGACAAAGCCATCCGCTGTCGAGCAATTAAAATTGAAGCATGAATCATTGAGTTCATCGCCAATGAAAATACTCGATTTGAGTTGTTCACCAAAGTCATTAACGAATCGTCGTCTTTTGCAACAGACTCAAACGTCTTCATCGTCGCCATACAAAAAGACGAATTTAATGTCACCACGATCACGGTGGAAGTACAGTAATTTCAACAAAAGTTCGATTGCATCAATTCCCGAAGCAAATATTGAAGATGATGCTACTTCGATTGACTCAGAGAATGATGACAGCAATGTACAAATCGTTGAAAGAGTGGACGAGAAAACACCGATCTACTCCACGCCACAGAAGAAGCCAGTTATCAACCAAGACCAAAATGCAAACATATCGAAACTCACACCATCAACGCAGAAGGAATCATTTGAACCGATCATTGCCAAAACCGAATCATCACCCGAAACCGGAATTATCGAAACGAATTTCTCCATGGAAGAAAACCTCTTCCGGCAAGCCGAAGAGAATAACTTCATGAGAGGAGAAATTAAACCGTACGGTGCATCACTTGCCAAAAAATCTACACTCAAACCCATCGCCGAAGTGTCACAAACTGCCGCCGATGCGGCACCGGTGACAACACCAGCCCCAACACTCGAAACATCATTTTGAAAATGAAGTACAAAGCCGAAACACTCTCTATATTCAGAAGAAGCATTTTGATAAGTAACATTTATGGACACATCGTTGGTTGCATTTTCATTGCATGATAAGCAACAAAAAGTGCATTCGGTGCGTCACAAACAAGTTTTTTTTTTACACATTTTGTCGCGCTAGAAATTTAAGAACCCATTCTTTCTAACTTATTTATTTTTTACATACATCCGGACACATTTTGTATGAAATCTAGCAGCTAATTGTCTATATCTTTGTTGAGTATTATTTTTTGGACGAAACACTACACAAAACCGTGTGTAAATACGCGCTTTAACATTTACTTCCGCATTCTTTATTGACACCGTGTGTCATTATTAATCTATTTATTTATTCTTTTTTTTCGTGTTTATTTTTGCTAAATTAAAATTAGAAAATCGTTAATTCTTCTTCCTGCTGTCTTCTATTTCTGTTCTTTTCTTCCTTTTTCTCAAATAATTCATTTGATGCCATGTATAAATCGAACAGTGTGCCTATTTAGAATCGGTTTTTGTATATTTTGCATCTGAATGCATTTATGAATTGAACCGATTTTGGTTTCAGCCGAAAGGGATTGCCAAATGTTCTGATCATTTTTAAATATTTGCTGACCAGTCAATAGTATTCTCCAAAATTGAAATTCAACGAATCATACAGTAAAGAACAAAAGAGTTTACACATTTAAACGAATTTTTATACATAAAATAAGTCACAATTCGAAAGCACATACTACTAAATAGTTTGAGTCCGAATAGAAGAATAGCCAAATGTTTTGCACTGCGTTGAACATTCGGCAAAAATCAGTTTGGTGCCACACAACACTAGTCGCAGTTAAATCAGCAGCTGAAGCAAATGTTCATGAAAATGGTGTACTCTCTATGCTATTCGTTTGCTCATTGAGTAAACTCTACGTTTTCATTTAAGAAAATTTATTTCAATATTTAATTTAATTTATTCCTGAACATGTTTGGTTAAGTTTGAATCAAGTGAATTAATATATTTGTACTTTCATACGAATTTCATTTTTTTCTCGTCTCTTTAAATACTTGAATCGCTTAAATTTAGTGCCGCCTTTGCTTGAGTGTTACTCCAGCGTGAAATAAGTCAACACAAAGAATAAAAAGAATGCAAATATTTGCTCTTCGAATACGACGACGCGTCAAGTCGTACGCTTAAGCCAATCAAATGTGACAAAATAAGGGAAAAAATAACTTAATTCGAAACACATGGCCAACCATAAGTTCCTTTTTTTTTAAAGAAAAGAAGAAAAAAATCCACTTTTTTCACAACAATGTAAATCATATATATTTTTGTCATAAAGATATGCATAAGATTTTTCCTACATTCAGCAAATAAATTAAGCATTTGATTACATGCATAAAACGATGGTATTTTCTCTTTGTCTGATTTATGGACCGTTCACATCAAAGTATGCGAAATCTGGGTGTACGACATTATCTTGAATGGTTTGTATAATGTGTTTGTTTTGTTTTTTATATTGTGCTTTCAATCATATTCTCCCAGAAGTTGTGATGCAATGCGGCTGAATCAAGAAGAAACAACACAATAACTTTGTTTATATTGCATAATTTAAATTCAACGATCTACATTTCCATAAATCCAAATATTTGAACACACAATTGCAACAATCTGTGCGTGATTGCAGTCGAAAAGGCGCCAAATGATAAAAGCCATAATGATAAAAAAATACGATAAATGATGCCATCGCCGCCTCATACAAAATATCTTATCTGCTTTTGAAGGCTATTGCACGGCTTTATTTACTCACGACACACACTTTTTTTTATTCAAACACACAAATCATCAGCATTGAATTTGCACCAGAAAACGGAACATTGCAGCCTTATCAATGGTAAGTACGCATGATGCGGCACAATGACACAATAATGAATTGTTTAGAGAGATAAAAAAAACGATGCTGGAAAACACCTTTGCGTCGAATTTACTTATTGATGATGTACGTCTGCGATATTTCTGAGACAACAAAATGAGGCCATATTTCCCACGAAGAAGATTGAATTGTTATCTAGGTTATAAAATAAACAATTTTAGATATTTCATTTTTTGTCCATGCGACCAATTAGCTCGTTTATTTTTTTTAATTGATTTTCTTATTTGTTTGATATAATTGAGTCCATGTTGATATTTAACTTGTCCGAATGATCATGTTACGAATTTTAAATCGAAGCAATTAAATATTGAGTGAAATCTTCATGAAGCTCTGAATTTTTTGATGAATAAAAATCCCATGTTTACATTTATTTATCGTCTTTATTTATGAAATGATTGGCTAAATCGTCTACGAAGTAGTTTATATATTAAATTTCTTATATATTTTATCCCTTAAAAAACTACTAAGTTTTGCTTACATATTATTTTGGCATGATAAAGGTATACAACATACGAACAAAAATAATAATAATAAATAATTGTCATTTAAAAGAATCAATCATGGGAAAATTTCAATTCGACTATTAGCTTTATCTTTATATTAAATTGATTATGTTTTCTACTAAAATAGTACAACATCGGGAGGAAACATGAAGTTTATCGTTGATTATTATCTGAGCAAAAAAGCAAATGACCAACTAGTGTCTTAGTTCGATGGTCATCATTTGTACACCTTGTTGTCAGTCCAAATTTATTTTGGAAACCTGTTTCACTAAGAAAAAAACATCACTTTCGATTGTTATCGAACGTCTTCGAATGCGAAATTCAAACGAAAGTTGTAAAGTGGAACAAAATTTCAATAATTCGCCAATTTTGTTCGAACATATTCGCATTTACTAAGTCATTATTTAAAACTGTTGAATCAAAACACACATATGTGATTATTTAAATCAAATTGATTGCTTCTTTGCTAAATGACAACAAAAGCGAAACAAGTTTCCCGGTCAATTCGAATTATTACAGAAAATGGAAAGCAATAATGGCGTATTCTGTAGAAAGGTTCATCCGTATTCATTCCTCTGAATCATAAAAAAGCTTATCTATTCTTTTTATTTAGTTTCATCTTTATAGTTTAGGTGACGTTCAACAGTCATTCTTTGTCATACACAATACAAAAATCTGTACACTTTGAAAAAATATTTACAAACACATTTGACGCGCTAAATGCTGTCATTTGGATTACGTTGAATTGATGGTGTGTCGAATCCAAGCTGAATTGGGTGTGATTTTGTCGTACATTCGAGGTCGTTCAATGCCATTAGGCTGACAAGCTATTCTCCAGCTTGACACGCCAACCAAAGCCCATCGATTGCTGTTTGGTAGTAAACACATCACTGGACTGCCCGAATACTCTTCTTCGGTACAATCTTGTTTGTGGAAAGCGGCTTCGGTGCACATTGAATTCACTGTGGCAATGGAAATATTCTCACAGCTCGCCATGTGACTGAGTTTCAGTTGGACTCGTTGCAAATGATCGCGCTGTCGTGACCATCCCAGTGTGTTACATGTTGTCCACTGAGTGGCGGCTGGATCATCAACCACCATATTTCTTCCTTGTGGTGTTGTGCCGTTGACTTCAAGTGGAGGTGCTACTGATGAACTGTAGAATTCCGGTGGAATGGCACGAATTCTACGCACAAGATCATCTTCGATTTCTTCGCCATGCACATCCTCCGGTCCAAAGAAATAGTCACGATTTTCCGGCAAATTTGATTCATATTTTTCATCTTTTTTACTTCGTGATAATGTGTCTGCTGTGGGCTTTTCGGCATCGGACATATTTGTCTGAGCAGAGACATAGTTTTTGATGTTCAAAGCATCTGGCAAGCAAATCGGTCGAATGAAATCATTGAACACAACTGGCGTTTCGAGACGAATTAAAGCAGCTGTTGATCCTTCTACGGGCGATTTTATCATACCAATCTGTGAATGGAGAGAGGGTTGAGAAGGGTTGATTTAAAAAATGGCAATTACATGTTAGAAAAATCGAAAATTTCGTATAGAAATTCAAAACACTCAGTAGAAAAGAGTTTACAGAAAATTTGCGTTATGATGACGACATGTGATTGATACGAAGAAAAAACAAAAGAAGATTTCAATTTAATTGACCATAAACAAAGTTCCACTTACAATGCGTCTCCTCTGACTCCATGGTGTGTTTGCGTTCAGACGAATATTCCCAAGCACGGCGATCCAAGTGGCTTTCGACTGTCCTTGGAAGCATGATTCAGTTGTCAACACCCAATTTTCTGATACCAATGTGCCGTCGCATACATGAGTTTCGTCACGATGAAGAGATACATACCATGGCCAATCGCCAGGTGCTGCCATTTTTGATAAACTTGCTGCTGAATTCGCGCTCAGAACAGATTGAAATCCACATTCTGAAAAAAGGAATTTTATTTTTGCTTAATAATGTGTGAATATTCAGAGCGATAAATTTTTTGGATTTACTATAGCTCAAAGCGAATGGCAACAATGATTAAAATGAAAATGAAAACGAAATGAAGTATAAAAAAAGTGAAATAAAAACGAACCTAAATTTGAGCACGAAACATAAAGCGCTTGTTTCTTTTCACACGTTGTACGAACAAAAGATATTTCAGCCGCCTTTGGGTCCAACACGCGAACATAGCGCGTATTCGGTTCGGTGTCATTTCGCACTTCAGAGAATGCTACTTTCCTATAATAAAAGTAAAATTTTAGCATTCATTCAATTTGAATGACGGAATTGGCAAACTTACTCATAGCCCAGTGCTTTGCAAAGTGATTCAGAAACGGTTCTCTGGATGTGTTTATCGCTAGGTGATTCAAGGCCTTCAGCACAAAGTTTGCCCGATTCTCCTTTCTCGGAGAAGATAGCAAATCCTTCCGAGTTAAACTTGACTTGTTGCGGTGTCAATGGTTTCGGGTCATTCAACTCTGATAGCAAAGGTGCTATTGAAACTGTTGAAAGAAGAAACATTACATTTACATCTGATGTTTGATAGTTCATTGAACACCGAAATAGTGGGCTTAAATCACACTTACGACAGTCTCTTTCATCGAGTCCGTCAGGACAGTCAATTTTTCCATCACACCGAGCACTCTTTGGAATGCATGATCTGCCGCGGCCACAGTAAAGACTATCCAGAGCACAATACGAACACTTAAACTCATCTGAAAGGTCTGGACAATCCGGGATACCTAATATGAAGATAATTTGTTAAATTTGTCTTAATTGTTAACTTATTTTGATTCCAAAATTAAGAGTAACCACCATACCATCACAAAGTCGATTGGAAAGCGCCTTTGCTTGCAGATCTTCAATGCAGTTCGGTTTTGAGTGGCAACTTTGTGATCCGATTGACTCCGGGAAGCGTTCACAATCGAAAAACGATTTAAAGTGATTCGTGATGCGACTTCCGCAGGATTTTTGGAAATCTTGGCAATATTCGCGACAGATTGGTCCAATCTCCGGCTCAAATGGATCACGATATTTGCAAGGCGGTTGCAATAATCGACAAACAAAATCATACGCTTGGCGATAGCACTCTGAATCTACTATTTCGCGGAAGGCAATCAAATCGGCTTTGACTTCGTCGATATTTTTGTGACCAAGAAGATTTGGGTACGTTGTCACGTTGTATCCAATGTTTTGGCAATAGTCAAGCTTGACGGCTTCACATCGACGTTGTGGTTTGTGTTCTTTTGGTGCATCTGATGTTTCGTCGGGTCGAAGTGGTGATGCATTCGTTGATGGCTCATCACCCATGAATCCGGTCACTTCGTTGATATCCAAACTGCTCAAATCAATTGTCAGATTTGCGAATTCGGGCACCATTTGTTGCCCAATTTGTTCGATAAATACGGAGAGTAAGTCAGCTGAGGATACTAAAGCGAGGTAAGGATCAAAATTAAGGTTCAAGTGGATGATCATATCGCTTCGGTCTTCGTCACTGTGGAAAAAACGAATTTTCGAATTGAATAAATAATTTTATTTCATTTTGATTATATGAAGAATTTCAATTGCTTATTTTATTTAAAAATATAAAACAATTGATTTGAGCAAAAATTGTGCTTCAATTACCCATCCAGCGCCAAAACCTCGCTTCTTTTATACCCTTCCTTGAGATCCGATCGATTGATCATTCCATCGATGGCATGTTGATAGTATTTTGCACGATGTTGAAATCGCAGTGAACTTTGATCGGCCAATTCGGTAGTCCAATTGTCTCCGGCAGTGATTCGTAGCTTTGCTCTGAATATCCGTTCAGGCAATGAATCATATTTGAGTAGTACATCTGGAGAAAGGAAGGAAAAAAAAATTCATTTGACATTGAAACGCAAAAATGGAAAGTGTTTTCAAACAAAAACCGGGGCGTTTTATCGCAAAATGAGCAATTTGCAAACAATAAACAATTTTGATTTCTTTTCTCTTCTTTCTTGTTGGCGCTTGAACCATTTTCCCAACGGTGACTGATATCGCGCCAACAGTGGGAATATTGAACTGATAAAAAGTGATAAATATCATAATTTCGACTGAAATATACGGCAAGTAACAAGCGTCTGAAGAACATCAAACCAGCACAGCGCCTCACACGGTGTCTGTGGTTGGCACACGCGACGAGTCATATAAAGAAATTGGTTCATTGTAGTAATAATCGTGAGAAATTCGAATGGATTTATTATAATCTCGCATTTGATTAAGAAATGGATGCGAATGAATCCATTATGAAGTAACTTTTGTAGACGTAATAATTTGTATTTTATTTTCCGAAATAGAATTCGCTGGTGGCTGCTGCAATGCCGTGCTTTTGTTTTGGTTGCATTCTGATTGAGCGCAGGCGAGCATGCGCTTCCAGATTGAATAATTAACATTTTCGAGTTCGTGCCGATAATTAGTTTCGACATTCGTAATGATCAATTTTGAATGGTTTTTGATACCTTTAGAGAGAAAAAAGAGCCGATTTCGTGAATTTCAACAGCCCGTCTGTAGTTCAATAGTAGCGGCTGTGATATTGAAAGCCATAGTGCGGATATCACAAGCATTTTTAATTTCCTTCAAACAAAATAAAGATTGATGATGATTGAAAGAAATGATTCGATCACGATCAAAGAGCCGAGTACATCGAACACTCTCCACTTTGCCTCACTGATAGTGAACAGTACGTTAATTAAAATATCTGAAAATTTATATGAAATCCAATCATTTTTACGGTAGATACACTCGCATCGCTTCCTCTATTCACTTGAGGGAAATTAACACGAAACGCCATTTATCGATCTGACTATTCAGTACCCGAAAAGAAACAAAAAATCGCGTAATACGTGACTTGTTTGTATTGTATGAAACGAAATTTTTCCCGTAGAAAAGTGGAAGCTTCCAACAGAGATCGTTCGGTGGTAGATAAAGACTTTGTTCATTGCAAATTGCAATTAAAATGTGTGCGAACTGCGCTCTGACTCATCTTGTAATTATAAATACGCGAAAGTGTCGTTTCGCTTTTGCCAAATACCGAGAGAATGTCGTTCTACTGCTTGTTGTTGTTTTGCTGACGTCGACCTATGCCCGCATTTTTCATACACGAAACGTGAAAACAATAACAATCTGTGAAAACTGTGTGCATGGTATGGCATTATATGGCAGTCTCTGAAAACGTTATAATAAACGATAAAAATGCCACTTTTTCTGTGATTTAATGGTAATTCCCTGCATATTTTGGGCTTTTCGTGCTCGTTTCATTTTTCTCGTTTCTTCTGTTGTTGAAACAATTTCCATTGTTCCAGCAGTTTCACTTCGTGAAGTGCCGTCTCATTCACACCAGAGAGCATCGCACAACGGTTGCGGTGGTATGAAGAATTTGACATGCATGCTTTGGCTTTGAAGTCGAATGAAAAAAAAAAGTTAAAAGAATCGTGAAAAATCAGAAGTTGAAAGTGATTGAAATGTAAAACGTGTAAAAGGGCTTTTAAATACAAAGTACGACGCACACATCTGTCGTTTCATGCGCGCAGTACTAGCATGAAAATTAGCTCAATAAATCACACACACACACACACACACACACACACACACCTTTCGCACATTATTCATACGCATTTGAAACTAATTGCTCCGGATAAGTGAATGCTAGTAAACGCTTTAAACCGCAAATCGCTTTCGATTTTATCGACACTTGGCCCACGAATCGAATATCTTAACTCACGCAGTCGAGACACTTACATCCAAAGTACATTGCTATTGTGGCAAACAGCATGAATATGAGCAAACCGGCAATCACAGCACATCCACATTTTTGCGTGTCTCCCAATTTTCGCCTCGTGAATCGAATGTCCGAATCTGATGATATCACTGAGTCCGTTTTCCTATCACTTCGCGATGACGGATTACGCGTGCATTTTTTTGGCACGTTTATCTGAAAATGGAGAAATATGGAAAATTAGTTAGCATCGATCAAATCAAAAAGAAGTTGAATCCAACTATTTTAACAGCTGTTATCAATAAAACACGTGAACACTTCAATGAAAGCCATCAACGTTTGCTTAGTTTTGAGCAACACATGTTGCTGTGTCGGCCATTGCTTTGTACTTGCTTTCTGTATGAGGGAAACAATTTACTATTTGATTCTTAACATCAGAAACTGTACTGTGTCAACGTGTAGCAAAGTCGATTAAATACATTGACTTTTGAATTATGTCGCCAAAACTTTCGTTGAAAACTGTTTTGAAAGCAAACAACAAATCTGGTTGAGAAATCGAAACAATTGATACAGGTCAAGCGACACGCTTAGCAGAACATGCTATTATATTATCGAAAATAAAATTCTTGGTTCTGTTTGTCAAATGAAAACAGAATCGAAATAAAACGGTCAGAAATTGAGATTCTATTTACAAATCTTGATCGAGAACTGTGTGTACACACAGCGAGAGACTAGGTTACATCATTGGAAATTAGAATGAAATTGTTCGCTATAAATACCGTCAGCGGCAGTAGAAAAGGTATCAATCGATCACTTCAGTTCGATACAATCACATCAATCAGAATGAAATTTTCGAAAATTTTGCTATTGGCTTTATTCGCCATCATTGCAACAATTTGCGCTGACCCGGAACCAGAACCAGAACCAGAACCAGAAGCACTCGCTGAAGCCGAACCAGAACCTAGTAAGTGATGATAATCAATATTTGATTTGAAGTGAAGGCGATTTTTCACAACAATCTTCAATTTCAGCATTTGGTGGTGGTATGGGCATGGGCAATGGAGGTGGCTCCATGTTCAGTGGTGGTATGGGCAATGGAGGTGGTTTCGGTAGCGGTGGTGGAAGCAGTGCACGCTCAAATCCTCCAAACGGTAACCGTGTCATTTTGAGACTGAGATCCAAACGTAAATGCGATGCCAAATGTAAGGCATTGAGACGTGCTCATCGTGGTCAATTTTGCTGCTGCAACAAAACCTGCGACAATCGTTGCAATAATTGCAAAAGCAACAAACGCAAGCGCTCACGCAAAAGCAACGGATATAGCAAAGGCAACGGAGATAGCAATAGCAACGGATATAGCAAAGGCAACGGAGATAGCAAAGGCAACGGAGATAGCAATAGCAACGGATATAGCAAAGGCAACGGAGGTAGCAATAGCAACGGATATAGCAAAGGCAACGGAGATAGCAATAGCAACGGATATAGCAAAGGCAACGGATATAGCAAAGGCAACGGATATCGCAAAAGCAAGGGATATCGCAAAAGCAAGGGATATCGCAAATCAAGCAAATGCCTTAACTGCCGGGCAATCTATCCAATTCCATACCCAGGTAAGAGCCAGCATTTTTTAGTACACTTTAGTAACAATGCCGGTAATAATGAAATTTCATGGAACATTCGAATAGCAAGTCTTGTGGACTTTTTACTGATAAGAAATATAACTAAAACTCATGTAAATTTATAGGCAATCAAGCTGCAACACCAGCTCCTGCCGTAACACCAGCTACTGCCGTAACACCAGCTACTGCCGTAACACCAGCTACTGCGACATCATAAGATGACATTACCATTGGCAGCTCGTATGGAATTCAGCCAATTCTTCAATACCATTCAATGGATAATTGCTCCAATTTATTTGTGTACCCATATTTATTTATTTTCATCACTTGAAAAGCGAAAACTTTCTTGAACTCCATTGTAACAACCAGACAATGCAATAAAATGTACTAATAACAGCAAGGCTGACGCTTTTTTGCTCTTCCTATGTATATGTTTTTTCAACCATTTATAGTATCAATTGTTTATGGGATCGGATTAGACCGTTTCCAATAAGATGTTTTTTCAGATTCATGAAAATTGAGTCACACCGACGATAGACAGTTTGAATGCGATTATTGACATAAAAAATAAACTATCCATCACTGCAGCCGGAGCAAAACCAATTATTTTTATTGAACTTAAATATTTTCGACAAAGGATAAACTGAGCCGACACAAAGTTTTATTGTACGCTCCAAGAAAAACGAAACAATGTAGCTTATCCATTCCTGCAAATGTCCGCGACAATGAGAGAATTTTTTTAAAATGGTTTTATGACGCCCAAGATCAGAACAAATCGTTGAATTGCAGTTCTCTAATGGTGATATGCAGTGTTTTTTTTAGATAATCAAAAGTTATCTAGGTCAGATACCAGATATAGAGGGAAAAAGTGAAAATTATTTAGATATAGATATATATAAAAATCTAATAAACGAATCTAGATATGTATAGATATCTATCATCTATCTCTGTTTATTTTTAGATAATTTATTTATAATAAGTTAATGATTATCGTCCCGACCGCAAATATTTAAATTTCAAATGAAGCAGCAAAATTTGATTGACATTGTCAATTTGACAAGAGAGTTCAAAAGGGCCTTAAACTGATGAATGATGATCTTAACTATTCGGCATCTTTTTTGGTTTTGGCTTTTGGAAATTGTATTTAATTGTATTGATGTTCAGGTCTGCTGCTGCACTTGTTGATCGATTCCTGAATGACGATTGTATCGAAGCTCAAATGTTGGACAACTATCCACATGTTCGCAAAGTTTACGTGAAATTCAATACGACTTTGGCATCATCTGCAGTCGTCGAAAGGGTTTTTAGTCAAACGTCTTTAATTTCCACGCCAAGACGAAACCGAATATTATCGACGACTTTCGAATATGCACTACTTTTGAAATATAATAAAAGTCTATTTCACGACGAAAATTGAATAAAAAAAAATTAAGTAAAATTATCATTATTAAATGTGTCAATTTATTCTTGGGAGGTTTTTCTCTGTATCTATCTATCTATGAGGTAGATATTCGCTAAATAATTTTTTGCACAACTTTACTTTACAGAACTATTTGGAATATGAATATTTTTTTGATTTTCTTTTTGCTCTAGATTGCTTATGGGCACTACATTTCATTTCTAGGGTGCGATTTGCAATTTTATGATTTACCGTTATTTTTTGACAAGTGTGCATTTTTCAGTATGTAAGCCTATAAATTCGCAGCCGTTGCAAATAAAGCATTGATCACTGAAGCAAAGTTTTAGTAATTCATCAGAGCTATGTAGCGCACTATACTAAAATGTACTAATTTGTACTAAATTGTACTTAATTTGAAAAAATGGTTCTGGTGCATTTCCAGCGATTCCTAACAATTTTGGGAGGCAGTACACGTTCTAAATGGTACTAGACTGTGCTAAAATGTACTAAACAATAATAAACAACAGAAATAAAACTAACCATATTGATGCAAACTGAATAAAAGTGGTTGTGGTAATATAAACGTAGAGAGGATCACATAGAACCTTTTGTATTGCTTGCTTATTTGAGTTTGAGCATTCTTATCTTTCTTTCTGATTATGAAAAAATGGTTTTGCCCACAGAGGTGGAGAGGAGAGCGTAGAGGACCTCCACTGGCACGCGCTCGTTTGGTCCTCTGCGCTTTGACCTCTGTGGGCACAACCATTTTTGTTTTATTTCGAACTGTGAAAAAAATGGTACGTCGGTAGTTTTTTCTTGTATCGTTTTGTTCGGCGATTGTTTAATAAGTCGTTTTTATGCTCACAGGTTCAATTAGATAACTTTTCTAATTATCTATCTTATCTAATCTAATTATCTAAAAATAGATACTATCTTAAAAAAAACACTGGTGATATGACGGTTGAAAATGTATCCGCAGGTAGAATGTTACACTCTTCTTCGATTATTATCTTTTATTATTGTCGATGCTGCAGTGTCTCAGGTAACAATATGCGATTATAAATGGACGTAATTTCTCGTTACGTCTTCATTCATAATCGCTGTAATGCAACGTTGCCAGAACATGTCCATTCTCGTTTGTCTATTGCGCACTATTTTTCTACAGTGAAGCAGACTACTTTGTTGATGTGTATTATTATACGGGAAAAAATTTCACGTAAGTGTGAGCGAAATAGCATAAGATTTCGCTGGAAATTTCGGCGTCCGAGGGAACAGGAACTTCGGAGCTGGTTGAATGATGGCTCAATGGGAAGCTATCGATTTGCATTATAGGGGTTCAGGGGCAGTGGACACATTATTTTTGCCGAATTCCGCTCGGAAAGACGAGTTTTGGCCATGTATAGATTTTGCCATATAAACCAATGTAATCACAGCGGCACAACGAAATCACTCTTAAAAATAAATAAATAAATGAAACCAAACTGAAATAAAACGAATTACATACGTAATCCAAATTTTTCCGCTCCGCAGCAATTTAGTTTACTTCCCGCTTAATGTTTAGCCAAAATTTCAATAGACCCTTTTTTCGTAGCATTTTTGACCTTAAAATATAACTATTTCGACCATTTTCCATACAAAAGTGTCATTTTCGAACAAAATTTCAAGAAATGTTGATTTCGCACGTTCGGTTGTTCGAAGGCTCCCATTATTCTTGCAAAAAAATATCATTTTGCTTTGACCAAAACCCTAAAAAATGGCTTTCTGAGTGATTTTTTATACAAAAGTCTATTTTTCGAGGAAAATTTCAAGAAATGTCGATTTTGGACCAAATTTATGGGCAAGTGGGTGTTCGGTTGTTCACAGACTCCCATTATTTTTGCAAAAAAATGGCAGTTTGCCTTGATCGGTACCCTGAAAAATGCTTTTCAAAAAAGGCGGAGCATCACGGATTCGCCGAGCACCACCAAACATTTTTCGAACAACTACTTCATATAATACGATAATTTTTGTATGAACGCAAAAAATGCCGAGACAAAAACGGCAAACAAACGAAACATCAGTGCTTCAATATTTTAAATCAAAGCATTCATCTATGTATATATTACATAAAAAGTCGGTTTTGTTTGGATTCACATTGAAACTTGATTATATTAAGAAATCTCTGTATGCATTAAACACATTGGTTAACCATTTTTGCT